GGCTGCAGCACATGTGGAACTTACTCACAGAACTAGAGGAAGGGGGCAGAGATATGACACATGGCTGCAGCACATGTGAAACTCACTCACAGAACTAGAGGAAGGGGGCAGAAACATGACACATGGCTGCAGCACATGTGGAGCTCACTCACAGAACTAGAGGAGGGGGCAGAGATATGACACATGGCTGCAGCACATGTGGAGCTCACTCACAGAACTAGAGGAAGGGGGCAGAGATATGACACATGGCTGCAGCACATGTGAAACTCACTCACAGAACTAGAGGAAGGGGGCAGAGATATGACACATGGCTGCAGCACATGTGAAACTCACTCACAGAACTAGAGGAAGGGGGCAGAAACATGACACATGGCTGCAGCACATGTGGAGCTCACTCACAGAACTAGAGGAGGGGGCAGAGATATGACACATGGCTGCAGCACATGTGGAGCTCACTCACAGAACTAGAGGAAGGGGGCAGAGATATGACACATGGCTGCAGCACATGTGGAACTTACTCACAGAACTAGAGGAGGGGGGCAGAGATATGACACATGGCTGCAGCACATGTGGAACTTACTCACAGAACTAGAGGAGGGGGGCAGAGATATGACACATGGCTGCAGCACATGTGGAACTCACTCACAGAACTAGAGGAAGGGGGCAGAAACATGACACATGGCTGCAGCACATGTGGAACTTACTCACAGAACTAGAGGAGGGGGGCAGAGATATGACACATGGCTGCAGCACATGTGGAACTTACTCACAGAACTAGAGGAGGGGGGCAGAGATATGACACATGGCTGCAGCACATGTGGAACTTACTCACAGAACTAGAGGAAGGGGGCAGAGATATGACACATGGCTGCAGCACATGTGGAGCTTACTCACAGAACTAGAGGAAGGGGGCAGAAACATGACACATGGCTGCAGCACATGTGGAGCTTACTCACAGAACCAGAGGAAGGGGGCAGAAACATGACACATGGCTGCAGCACATGTGGAACTTACTCACAGAACTAGAGGAGGGGGGCAGAGATATGACACATGGCTGCAGCACATGTGGAGCTTACTCACAAAACTCACATAACTAGGGGAGGGGGGCAGAGACACTATTTCTCTATGTGATAGAAACCAGGCAAGTTTCAAATCAACTTTTGGCTTTTCTTGCACAATGACTTCCTATACCATGTGTGTATTTTGTAGTTGACTTCAACCGACAGTCACTGGCAGCAATATGAAGAATGTTATCTTAAATAGTATCAGAGTGATATTGTGTGTGCAAGACCTAGTGCCAGTTTCCAACTTTGGACAACTATTTCTACATCGAGTTACTGTCACAACAATTCTCTGTTGGTACCATGCAGCTACCTAATTATTTCAAACTGTTTGACTGCCGCTAATATAGGTTACATTATTCCAGGTAGAACATATTAAAATAATGTTGCTGTCGGCAAATATATTCTTAAGGCTGGCCATGAGTGTCGTGGAAAACAGCTCAGGTTCTCCCCCCTTCCCCTCCAACTTTCTGTGTCATTAGGTTACGTCCATAAATATCAAAAGAAGTGTTACTGACTGCCATGAAAAGAGATGCTCTACCTTCTATGTACTCTGGAAGTACTACCTTCACATCATCGTTCTGTATGTTTCAATTAGCTGTGAAGTAGTCATAGTTCTTCACTACTCCCCATTTCCTGTCTGCTGGCTACCCAATCTCCATGCCGACCACAATCATCCCTACCAGTACCAGAGGAGTGGGTGCCAGTGCTGCCCCTAATTATATGAAGCTGATATGTTACTGAAGTAAGATGAAAGGGCTGGAGGTGTAACTAGATACAGAATGGACATGCCTTCTGGGGCAGCTCCTGGGTCAAGGGGGCTGGACTCCTCTAATCTGATGATTTGTGAAAATCTCCTAGGTGATAAACATATTTCTGCAAGATATGTTTCTTGTGATTATTTCTTTAATTTAAGGCTGTCATCTTTGTCAGCCTTCCATTTATACACACAAATCTAATTCCAACTGACAACACAGGCTCCTGATATTTTCCCTCACTACAACACAGGCTCCTGATATTCTCCCTCACTATATCACAGGCCCTAATATTCCCCCTTACTACAACACAGGCCCCTGTTATTCCCCCTCACTACATCACAGGCTCCTGATATCCCCCTTTCCTACAACACAGGCCGCTGATATTCCCCCTCACTACAACACAGACCCCTGATATTCCCCCTTACTACAACACAGGCCCCTGATATTTCCCCTCACTACAACACAGGTCCTGATCTTCCCCCTCGCTACATCACTGGCTCCTGATATTCCCCCTTACTACAACACAGGCCCTGATATTCCCCTTCACTACAACACACGCCCCTGTTATTCCCCCTTCCTACAACACAGGCCCTGATATTCCCCCTCACAACAACACAAGCCCTGATATTCCCCCTCGCTACAACACAAGCCCTGATATTCCCCCTTACTACAACACAGGCCCCTGATATTTCCCCTCACAACAACACAAGCCCTGATATTCCCCCTCGCTACAACACAAGCCCTGATATTCCCCCTCACTACAACACAGGCCCTGATATTCCCCTCACTACAACACAAGCCCTGATATTTCCCCGCACTACAACACAGGCCCCGATATTCTCCTCACAACAACACAAGCCCTGATATTTCCCCGCACTACAACACAGGTCCTGATATTCCCCCTCACGACAAGAGAGGCCCTGATATTCCCCCCACAACAACACAAGCCCTGATATTTCCCCGCACTACAACACAGGTCCTGATATTCCCCCTCACTAAAACACAGGCCCCTATTACACCCGCTCCCCCTCACTTTAATCATGTTAATTACTTTGTCAATCACTTTCACATAATGTCAGTTAAAGGCACAACAAATCTGATAAAGATTGTGTTTAATGTATTAATTAAACTAAACACCTTCCCCATTCAGATTTACACATGGGGTCTACAAGTACATCCAGTTGAGACCAACAGGTGTTGTGAGCTTCTGTGCTTATTCACCTACATCACTCACACAACCAGGCATCAAGCCAGCAAGAAATATCCTTCATCATTTCCTCTAGCCAAGAAACTAATAAAGTGTACTTGTTTTCAACCACAAGTCAGAATATCAAAGGGTGTAAGTCGAATATCACTCTTACGTGAAACATTATGAATATTACTGTTACAAATAACCTGAAATGGCAGTAATGTCTGGAGACACTAGGTTTAGTGTAAGTACAGTTAATCAAACTTGCTTACTATTTTGTGAGGTTAAACTAGCTAACATGGCTAATAACAGTAACACCAAGTTCAGTTCTAATATGCCTAATGGACAGCTTGCACAAGAAAAGAAAACGAAACCTAGTTGCTGAAACCTTCTCCCCTCAAAACAAACACATATTTATTCAACAATAATATGGTGTGCACCGTATGGCTTTAACATTTGTACAACTATCTATTGTGCAAGTGTCCCTGATATACTGGTAGTGTCATGCTCATGGGTTTACTGAAAGACACTGTCAACCCACAGGCTGTACTGTAGGGTGATCGGGCTGACCTACATACTCTATCTACAACTGCTGCCCCAACAATAATCATGTATCATGTACAGTATCTAGGCACACTAACTGTAATAGCAAAAATACCCCCCCCCCCTCCAAAAAGAATCATGTACAGTTTCTAGGCACACTTACTGACTTACTGTACTAGCAAGAATACCCCCCCCCCCCCCTCCCTCCAAACATGTATTATGTACAGTATCTAGGCACACTTACTGTACTAGCAAAAATACCACCACCCCTCCCCTCCAAACACGTATCATGTACAGTATCTAGACACACTTACTGTACTAGCAAGAATACCACCCCCCCTCCCCTCCAAACATGAATTATGTACAGTATCTAGGCACACCTACTGCACTAACATGAATGCCCCCCCACTCCAAACACAAATCATGTACAGTATCTAGGCAGACCTACTGTACATGAATGTTTTCGCCCCCTCCCCCACCAAGCATGTACAGTATTTATTAATTAGGATTTTAATGTTAACATGTAGCCAGAGCATAATAGTATTGTACTGAAAAACTCCAGCTATGCATTTAATGAAAACAACAACACTATCTGGGACAGTATTTTTCTGAACTTATTATTCTGAATACTCATGCATGTCTTCCATAGAAATATCTACTCCCTGTTACACACTTTAATAGGTTACAAACACAAGGACTGTTGAACACAATCACATGTTTTGTTTGTTTGTTGTTTAACGCTGCTCTCAGCAATAGTCCAGCTATAAGACAGCATATTCACATGTAATGCATAATAAATGTCACGGTGTCATAACATTGTGTGTCATGATTCAATTGGCAAAAACTGAGACATTTTAACAGAATACTACTTTAATGATAATACACAACAAAAACAAAAGTATATAGAAAATGACATGAAATCACATTTAATACCAGCAGATTGGATTTCCCCCAGTAAACAAGTGCTATTTCTTTCATGTTACATAGTGTAGCGGAGTTCAACAGTGTTGCGTTTGACAGCCCAGGGGTGCTATATCTCCTTTATCGGATCAGCATTGCGTATCCAAAAACATGGTAATCCACTCGTAAATAAGCAGACAATTGATTCGGACTATTGCGCTTTATTAAGTTATCATGAACAACATTTGGGGGGACATTGTTCCACATACAACCAATGACTCCCTGGCCTCACCCGACAACTTTGTTCATCCGACTGGCTCGCTATGATTTGGAAGACAGCGTAAACGATTTTCCATTTCCGTATTCACTGATAAGTAGTTGCTTTCCCTCCAAAATTGACCAGAGCGTTCACAAGGGCACATGTGAGTGTTGCGCTAGATAATGCATAGACAATGCACTCAACAACAAGCGACGGGCGTCTCAGTAAAATACACGTACTTCAATCTACAAACTTCGAAGCTCGGTCTCAAAGTTAGTAACTTGACTTACCAGCGACTGGAGAAGGCTTTTTCATAACACACCATCGCGACTTCCACTGAAAAACAGGAAATCACACTTGTAGATTGATCCCAAATAGTACCACAACTCGAACAACACAATTTACGACGAAAACTCACTTTTTTGCCATCTCTAAACTTAATTTTCCCCTCGACCACAACAGTAGTATCGGCCATATTGGTCCCATGTTCTCGCACTGTGAGGGAATCAAACAGCTACTTCGATTGGTTGACAACCTACGGAAACATGGATGGGTCATAACCTTTTCGCGTGTTAGCAGCGCGTGATGCAAGAATCGGGTCACTGAACTACATAGCACAACCCTGTCGACGCGCCATATACCAGCTCATATGTCCCCACATTCAACATAATAAAAATACAATTAAGAGTCACGTGATTTTATATGTAATTTTCCGTATTTTATAAGCACTGTTTACTTTTACGATAAAGACTAAATCTGGAATACATATTACATTCATTGGCTGCAGATTTACGTAACTATCAGCAACGTGTCGATCTGTACATTGTTCATGACCCGATATACTAGATTGATCATGAATGTTTACACATAAAGTGTTTTACTTCTGCTTACAACACTGTGGTATCACAATGTTCATGCCTTTGGATTTTAAAGTGTTAGATGTAAGGAAGGACCCCTACAACAGATCTAAATTATAAGTATACCATGTACACGTAAATACGCGCTCCCCTGTCATGTGAGGTCTTCCATATAAGTGTCCATATGTTGCTATAATTATAATCGCGTAGGTTTTTTCCATTGTTATGCATGGCTAGACATAACAGAGTATATGTTACAGTTAATTGTAAAATCAGTCATTGTGAAAAATGACAACAATTTTCATTTGGGCCATTTACAATACGTCAAGATATTACAATTATTCTTCCATTAATTATATTATTGATAAAGAATTCCTAACAGTTTATGTTCTATTTCATCACTCAGTGACTGAAAATGGTTGGATTAAACGAAAACGAAAGTCAATGTATATTTGTAAATATTTTTGTGGCTTCTAATCCTAGCATACTTAGTCTATTGTGGTGTGTTTAAACCCCTTTGAACTTCTTAAAAACTTTTAGTCAATCTGACGGGAAAATAGTTGTAAAATGACTGAAACATTTTAGGGTTTTGAAAATTGCCTAAGTGAAAAGTACACCGTTGCCAACGACTTTTGACCCTGCCGCTGCCTAACAACTGTATATATGAATTACATAAACATACATACACAGCGCTTATCTAAAGTTGCGTATCCATGTTTTACTGACAAACGGAATCTTCCCGCGGTGTAGCGGCATGTCCGTTCCGTGACATGTACATTAGAAACATTTCAAAATATTAAACATCATTTCTATGCATGAAGCAAGACTGAGTACCAATCAAGCGAGATGAGTTAACAAACAGACGCGTTGTCATCATGTGCTGATTGCGAGAGCGATCTCGTCTAGAAGTTGACGAGGTGAAATGCGTTCACCCGCACAGTGTGTATGGAGACGCGTGTGTAACGATTCACCGAATGTTCGGTGCATCGCGGTATCCTGTGAACGAAAAGAGTACGGCACCGGTAGGTCATATGTATCGATACCAAAAGCGCATTATATACAAAATTATGGGTGACGTGCAAAATGGCATGAACATAAATTGTTCTGAAGCAACGGTTTTATGAAACCGCTCATAACTATATACTAAATGTGTAATTTTATTTCCTTTGAAAATGTTTATCTCTCTATACCATATCAAGCGTTGAGGCTGTATGTACCGCATCGCACATCGTATATATGGCGACCCTACTGTCGAGATGTGTAAAAGTGCCTCCATACTCTTGCATGGTGCAGCCCCTTGTGGACATCAAACACTATTAGGTGACAAAGGAAAGCCTCATTAACGCTGTTGGGACTTGTCAGTATCCTGACACACGGCACCAAAGTTACGCCATAAACTCGACACAAGTCCATGGATAAGTACACCCAGACTGCCACATAGTCCATCCTAAATACACCAGCATTCAGTTTGTTGATGCACATTTAGGAGATAAAAACGACTGACACGCTCGGTTTCAAAGACACTGGTGTGAATTGTGCGACACATGTACCTTCATTAAAATTGCATGCGTATTTAATCGGCATAGTCTTTAAGCGCTATATCGGCAGGATCATTCGTCTTTCTAAAAAAGGACTCGAACTCAAGTCTAGACTGATTTGGCAAGTCTAGATTGCCTCAGCTCCTGAAATTAAGGATTTTTCTGGACTCCGTTTAGATTTTACTCTTTTTTGTTTTGTGGATATATATTTTTAAATGAGATAAGTTTATTTCAGGGACTAAATGTCAGTCTACATCATATACAAGGTGCTGTTGAGTGTCATACAACAATACAGTTATCAGAGGAACGGAACAGAACTGGATCGAGTAGGTATAATATGTCTGGACATACCGAAGGACATCCATCCACCCATTCTCTACGGCTACACACATAACGTTATAAACACCTCAACATATGCATCATATAATATTATGTATTCCTAGACTCAAGTAACAGATGCACACGGCAATTTTGTTTCTGTTTCTCTTCAATGATAAAGCCGGTTGGGATGGGCATTGTTTCATGACTGTTACATATACAGTTATTTATTTGTTATTACTCATTCAGTTTTCTAACATACACATGTTGTTTACTTACAACTCTTTCCAAATCGGCCAGATCGCGACATGACCACCAGTTGTGGTCGGTGTTCAGTACATAGTTGTCCTGTATACTGTGGCAGAGGAGTGATCCTGCATCCTGCATGCGTTGTGTCAACAGGGTCTATCTATACATGAGCTAACATTACATCTTGATAACATGTAATGATGGCCATTTATTTGAGCGATCAAATATTATCCTATTTTTCAATTCGATAAAACAACATAAGGTTACATATAATTCTGAATGAGTGAAGCCATATATAGAAGGCTGCTTGGCTACTGGAAAAGTCAATGTATTATATATAGATCCATTCCATGTTTGTCAACACTGTCATAATAGCCTGGAGTTATTACATACTGGATAATGGAGGATGCCTCATACCATGCGAGATATTGTTCACTAACAAGTACATACGGTCAGGTGCATATACATGTAGCAACAACTGTTAATGAAAGCGGGCTCCTGTGCCTCACTGTCACTTACACAAATAGCAATAAATCAGATTTTGTCTCCCTGAAACAATTATATGCTGCACAACTCTCAAACCGGACGGTTTCTAATGGCCAAACAATCCGCCTCTGGCGTATAGTATAAATCAAACATGCGATCAAATAAAATCGGCGTTATGGCGAAAGCAGCTCTCCGTAGAACGTATGTAAATAGCGTGCGACTGAAAGGCGTGGAATTCCTTGTGCATAGATGGCAAGACCCATTGAACGTTAGATAGAGCACTATGCGACCCCACTAGCCTTTTCAAAATTCACGACACCATTTTTTAAAGTATGAATAGAAAGAAATACACATTTATGCAATTTCTATATGCCTGAGAGTGAAACCCCAAACGGGACTGTGGACATTCCAGTGTTTCTAAGCCCTGGCTCAGAAATAGAATGCGCCTTTGAAATTTCTTAAGTTACCCATTTCCACTGCGTAATCGACGATGGGATACAATATTGGTTATAAAATCTAACATGTGTACTTGCTAGCTTAGCATGGTGCGTATTCTTTCCAGCACATTTTGTTCATGCATGTCAGTATTATAAAGGAGGGCTTAACCAGTTTCCAGTGATAAATATATGTGTGCATGCAGTTCTTGCAGTTGACCATTTAAAAAAGTTTAAGCCTATCTTAATTAAAACTGTTACACTAATCATTTAAGATTTTTTAATTCATACAGTTAAATGAAAATGCGTTTATGCGTTTATAACAATTCACGAGGCTGTATAAAAGTAAAGTTAAATTTAGTCCCGAAAAAACTTAATCTATTCAATTTACCCGTAAAGTAAACCCTAGTCGCAAACCTAACTTATATATGAATGGTACAGAAATCAACGATGTACAAAGTCATACGCACTTAGGTATGACTTTACAAAGTAATTGTACATGGAAAATGCACATTGATGATATTGTAAGGAAATGTTGTCCTCTGGTTAACTGTTTAAGGAGTTATAAATATCGTCTATCCCGAACTACCTTAGAAACCATGTACAAATCCTTTATTTTACCAATTTTTTATTATTTGTTGTCATATTTGGGACAACTGTACTAATGAACACGCTAACTTATTGGAAAAATTACACTTAGATGCTCTTAGAACCATATGTGGCGCTGTCCGGGGTACGAGTCATCAGAAGATTTACAATGAAACAAATTGTAGGTCATTAAAAGACAGAAGATACAATTTAAAACTGGTAATGTTTTACAAAATGAATAACCATTTATCCCCGGAATATCTTTGTAGGCTTATTCCTAATACAGTTTCGGAAAACACAAATTATGACTTAAGGGATAAAACTAATCTTCAAACAGTGAAGTGAAAAAAAAAGCTTATGCAGATTCATTTATACCAGCTACAACACACAACTTTGGAATATGTTACCAGAAAACCTAACGGGGACATAGACCGTTACACAATTTCAGAATGTGCTTCACGTAAAGGAAGATAATGTATACACTGGGATTTAAATTATGGAAGCAGATTATGCCAAATTATTCACAGTCGCCTGAGGTTTGGCTGCAGCGATCTTAACGCAGATCCGTATAATAAACATATCTTTGATACAAAAACTTGTTCCTGTGGATATCATACCGAAGATGCTCTACACTTCTTTTTGTGTGTGTACAAATTACTATGCTCTTCGAAATTAAAAGTATTTTTATCAACATGGTTATTCTTAACAAACAGTGCTATGCGGAAATTCGGATTTGAGTAAGGAAGAGCAAATGCTAATATTAAATTCTATTCAACACCTTATATTAAAAACTGGCAGATTTTCAGTTAAATGATTGTTTAAAATAAACTGCAAATAGATTTATTATATATACACATCTAGCTTGGCATGTACAATTTATTTGTTACATCTAACCTTCATTTATGTATTCATTGTAATATGTCCTATGTGTAATGGAGCGGTATTAACATAAGCGCTTCGCTTGTTTACCAATCCATTTTCACACTTTTGTGAAAATAAATATGTTTAAACCAAAAGTAACAAGAATGGCTGAACCGGGCGATATTTCGTTCGTGCTACCTACTTTAACGTTTTAACATTGTTAGAAAGCAACATATTTCACAATATAGTTAAGGACTACTTTATTATTTAATATATATTCTTTACTCGAACTATCATAACATTTCTCTTAAACACACAAGTCGTACATTATTATTTGACATACTTTGCCTGTCCCCTTATTGCTGTATGGTGACAGCTGATGGAAACTGGACATGTATCCACACAGTTACTTAATCCGTCACTAGTGCCCGAGTGGGTTTCTACATACTGACATACTGACAGACAGACAAACAGTCTCACTCCAATTCATTACAACACTGTTACATAATAAAATACATGCACGGGCCACTCCGTGCGGAGTTAAAAGAGAATCTATTCACATATTTACAATTTAGAATAAAAACAGAAGCTGAGTATCGGCTACATTCATGAACGACATACGATGGCGAGTTCCAAGGGGGTTACGACAGAGCAACTTGACAGTCCTGTACGCAAGACAAGATTGATGTAAGTCGTTATAAACACATACTGTTAGTTAGCTAATGAACATGTACAACTATTATACGTATACATGAACATCAACCTAGCAGACGGTGGTGGTTACCACAATTAAACAATGTAGGCGTAAATTTGTATTCCACAATTAAACAACACAGGCAATTAATTTGTTTACCACATTTAAACAAAGCAACCGTTAATTCATATTCCACAATTAAACAAGGCGGGCGTTAATGTCTTTGCCACATTTAAAAAAATCAGGTGTTAATTTATTTACAACAATTAAACAATGTAGACGTTAATTGTTAACACAATAAACAATGCAGGAGTTGATTTGTATACCACAACAAAACAACACAGGCATTGATTTGTATTTCACAATAAAACAATGTAGACGTCAATTGTTTACACAATTAAACAAGGAAGGCGTTAATTTTTATACCACAATCAAACAATGCAGGCGTTAATTTGTATAACACAATTAAACAAGGAAGGCGTTAATTTGTATACCACAATTAAACAATACAGGCATTGATTTGTATACAACAATAAAACAACGTAGACGTTAATTGTTAACACAATTAAACAATGCAGGCGTTAATTTGTATACCACAATTAGACAACACAGGCATTGATTTGTATTTCACAATTAAACCATGCAGGCGTTAAATTCTTTACCACAATTAAACAATGTAGGCGTTAATTTGTTTACCACAATCAAACAATGCAGGCCTTAATTTGTAAACCACAATTAAACAAGGAAGGCGTTAATTTGTATTTCACAATTAAACAATGTAGACGTTAATTGTTAACACAATTAAACAATACATGCGTTAATTTGTATACCACAATTAAACAAGGCAGGCGTTAATTTGACTCTCACAATTAAACAATGTAGACGTTAATTGTTAACACAATAAACAATGCAGGCGTTAATTTGTATGCCACAATTAAACAAGGCAGGCGTTAATTTGTATTTCACAATAAAACAATGTAGACGTTAATTGTTAACACAATAAACAATGCAGGCGTTAATTTGTATGCCACAATTAAACAAGGCAGGCGTTAATTTGTATTTCACAATAAAACAATGTAGACGTTAATTGTTAACACAATAAAACAAGACAGGCGTTAATTTGTATACCACAATTAAACAATGCAGGCGTTAATTTGTATACCACAATCAAACAAGGCAGGCGTTAATTTGTATTTCACAATAAAACAATGTAGACGTTAATTGTTATCTTTGCCTGCGTTGCTACATTACCAGTACGCAGATTCCCGGATTGAGAATGAAACCCCGAGGTATTTATAGGATGTGACAGTGCTAATTGTTTTCCACCGAAAGACCATTTTTCATTCGCCGAAAGTATATTTCCCTTCGTGAACACGACTACCTTTATTTTATCCATATCAACATCAAATTTCCATTTCTCCTTTTCTTATGACCATGGAAATGTTTCGTCACTGGTTCATGTTTGACCTTTGTGAAGCTGGAATCTGGCTCAGATGTACAAAATATCCTGTACTGGTTTAATCTCGAACTTGGTGGGATGTGAAACCCAAGATGTGATAACAACTGGATAAAAACATCTTATTCTCTGCTCGTCCTCGTCCGCTGTTAATATTTCCTCTTTATCTGTGAGGTCTGACCAGATGTACAAGCGCAAACCTTCGGGGCTGTGATCCTAGCGGACAACCAAGGAGCTCTTGATATGCCGACTGGAAGTACTTGGAATTCATAACGCTGTCATAACGCTGCAAAATGAAGGTACTTCAGGCATACAGGATGAATGGGAATATGAAGCTTATTAACAAGTGTCCCATCCTGAGAGTGATTCGTAGCTTCCTTACAGATTCCATCTGGAACTTGGGCGGACGGACGGACGAGATATTCCTTGTTCAAAGTCTGGTAGTCGAGAATCTAATACTATTAACAAAGCCAGTCCGATAGGGTATGGTTATAATTTTGTGTAGCCTGGCACGATGCTCTCCTCTTCCCCTAGAGCCAGTCCTGCCTCCTGTTTTATGCCTCTGCTGAAACTGTCCAGGGTTGTCCCTTGTTTCTTCAGTGATCGGGTGTTGGGATCTATCATTCCACGTTGAGGTCTGAAAAGCTTCCTTTCCGGATGGACTATATCTCCTCTTTGGAGGTCCCCGACATCCTTTATCTGTGGCTAACTGTCTGTCTTTTGTGCGCATTAGCTGCCAGGTTTGTGGTATAAAGCGGGAACCTTTCAGCAGTAATCACCTCCCAAATTTTACATAGTTTTTCATTGAAGAATACCCGTAAAGATCCAGGGTAGAATAGGCCTTCAGCAACCCATGCTTGTCATAAGAGGCGAATAACGGGATCGGGTGGTCAGGCTCGATGACGTGCTTGATGCATGTTATCGTGTCCCAATTGCTTGGGTCGATGCTAATGACACCAATCACTGGATCAACTGGCATCCTAAACCATCCATGGACGTGATCTCTACACTTCCAACAGGTCATGTGCAGATCCCCGGGGGCCTTGTGTTCCACGCACTCTGTTGTGCAGTCTGAAGACGGTGGTGGACAGGGAGCCGCCATTCTTCCCACGTCACCAATTAATTTATTGTTATCAAACCTTAATGAACCAAGAGTGAGATACCTTGTATCTATAACTGTCAAACTACCAAGGTGTGCCAGAAATAATCACCATTTTGTTTCAGATGTTTCCTTAAACTAACAAGGAAAGTAATGAGGTTCTCCGCCTTACATATGGGTAAGTGCACTGGGCAGTGGAAGACTATTATCCACACTACTGATTATGGATTTTTTTTATAGAAAACATTTTTCCTTGAGAAAGTTGACTTGAATAAGAAATGAATAATGTTATTTGACACCCCCCCACCACCGCACTCCGTGTATTGCCGTAGTGGTGGTTCTTTCACGTAAGTGACGTAGCCGTATGGTCGACTGTATCTGGGAAAGTCACGTGTTGTCCTGTGTGTCTGATAACGGTTCCAGTCTTGTAATGGTGCTTGGTGCAACTTGGAAAAAACTGACTACGGCCGAAGATGATTCGCCTGTATGCAGTCTGCCGATGGCATTGTTGCGTTGGGCTTCCATCAGTAGTTGCATGTTTTCACTGTTCACTTGCTGTATGATTGTGATGGCATGCAAATAAAAAACCTGCATTTTGTTAGCCCAACGAGTGATGTTGCACGTGCATGTCATGTTGTGTTTTAGCACCAGGCTGTCTTGTGGTTTTTGTTTTTGTGATTTTCCCCAAATTTCTGCAGTGCCTCATATTTTCCACATAAATCAATCCCAATCCATGCAGAATGACAAATTCATTTATGGTATCAATTTTGTATGGATATCGGCAACATCATCAGATACTTACAATTTTACTACTTTTGCATTTCCTTTTTTGCAGTATATATAATACACTGGATAATCAAGGTCTTAATCTTAATTTGTTTGTTTGTTGTTTAACGCCTCACTCAGCAATATTCCAGCTATATGACGGTGGTCTGTAAATAATCGAGTCTGGACCAAACAATCCGGTGATTGACATCATGAACTTCAATCCATGAAATTGGGATACACTGACATGCATCAACCAAGTCAGTGAGCCTGACCACCTGATCCAGATAGTCCTCTCTTACGACAAACATAGTAGCCTTTTATGGCAAGCATGGGTTCCTGAAGACCTAGTGTACAATATGAATGAATACATCTTGAGTGTATATCAAACCATATCATCTTGAACTGGGAATAATCACCAAATAGTTTATAAAATGATATTTTTATTAGTCAGCATCTGTACAGGTGCATCCTGTTTCATCTAACAGTTACTGAGCATATAGGAGCACTTGACATGACCAACATTATTTAAGTTATTTACATGAAACAGATCAATAGGACTTATAGGTGAATCAACAGCATTGGATGAAAATAATTTTCTTAGGTTGCTGAACATTTGTTCAGGTTTATTGGATAAATAGTAAACGACATGAATGAAAACAAACACACTTAGATTACTATTCAAAACTATCATTCACACATGGACAGATTAAAGTAATAATGAACATTTTCCACAGATACTATTACAGCACAATTACTGACATACCAGCACACTGCCACCAGTAACTATCATGTATGTATTTCCTGTGCCTGTGTCAACATGCCAAACATAACATACCATAAAGCAAGTGGCCAATCTCATTCAAATCAGACCTTAGTTCTCTCTACCGCTAAACAAAGATCTGGAGACATCCCATTTGGGGTCACGTCAGAACGACCTTTCATCCGACCAATCAGAGTGTCATTTACCAGATTATGAAAGTGACAGTCGGAAAGTGATTTCTAATCATGCAACCTCGAAAACTTTAACACTGGGTAATCCGAATGATAGTTATGGGTTTAACGACTGAAACCATACAATCTAGACTATCTATTAGCCATTCCAGAATGTTCTTTTGTTCAGGTTTCAAATTTGTAATTGAGAATTTGTCAAAATATGTTTCAAAGCGTAGTCGCCAATTTGAAATTAGTGCCGTAAAGCTGGAGAAAGCTGCCTTCTGATTGGTCATTCAATTGGTCGGTCAAACATCGCGCAAGGTTGGTCTGACGTGACCCGTAATGGGATGTCCTAGATGTTTGTTAAGCGGTAGCGAGAACTAAGATCTCATTTTAATTGAGATTGGTAAGTGGCAAATGGTGAATGTAAAAAATATTCCTTTTGATTCTTCCAAAGTATTATCCAGGAAGTTTTTTACTTGAACTTTTCCCTAGTTTTGCAGTCAGCAAATCCAGTAGAGAAGATGGCAGATGTCAGATATGCCACACTCTATTCAATCAGTCAATCAAATTCCAGCGATAAAGTAGATCACAATGGAAAGGTTAGTAACACATTGACCATTCATAAGTAACATTCAAAGCAGCAATTTTCCTTCATTTAATCTTTTTTTTTATTTAATCCTTTAGATAAATGTGGCAAAACATATAAAAAAAACACGTTTTCCAATTTTATTTTTTCGTACTCCAGGAATTGAATCATTTGTTTCAGCATAAGACTATTTACTAATATTTTGTTAAATTTAATTACCCTCCATAAGAGGCTTAGAGGTAGCATTGTTTATGCATTGTTTGTATATTGCAATGAAAAGACCTTTGTGTATAGACTGGTGTCATTTCTATCATGCCACACACTCTCCCATTGTGTCCATTCTACCAATATTTCTACTGATCATCCGCATCATTTTTATATACACGCCTCACTCTTCTCCGAATTCTCTATCCATGCAACCAGAACCTATCACATAATCAACCCTCATCATTCTGACCTATCACTCTGTATCTAGCAGTATCACTCTGTATCTAGCCATATCTTTCTTTATCCTGTCGGACTTCCTCTTGTCGCTTCAGGATAGCTGCGTTCTTCTCCTTGATTCTCCGGATGCGTCGCTCTAGCTCATCATCTGCTTCTACAAGAATGTAAACCATTTAGCATGTAGGCATTACATCATAATCCTCGACATGTTTCAATAAAGACTCATATGACTGTATGCACAATACTAATGCTGAAAATCTTTATCAAAATGGTCAATATTAGCATAAGCCAACACAAGTTCACCTTGAATAAAACAACAGATCCATTTCATCAACAATTCCAAAACTATTATAAGTATGTAAACAGTATCCGCTTGCAGAAGTCATTCCAGAGTAGGACAGCATGAACATGACAAAAACATCACATAAACAAATACTATGTCAAACGAGTGGAACATACATAGAATAACCAAAACTGTCTCCTCAAATGCTGCCATGTAAGTGAGACTTGTGCCGCCCTGGGACGGTCCACACAGTGTGGTTTTTTTTAGTGATATAGTGCCTGTTCCTGATTTACAGTAAGCAAGCAATCCTATGACAAACACTGTCAACACAGAGAAGGGCATCTGTCACAAACTCTGCCTCAGATGGGCAAACCTCTTTGGACATGCACTCATATGTACTGATAGGTTTGTCATAAGTTCCAAACCTTGACACTTTGATAAAAACAAAGTGAGTTAGTGAGTGAGTTGAGTTTAACGCCGCTTTTAACAGTATTCCAGCTATATCATGGCGTGTCAGCTTAATGTGGGAGGAAAGCCCGAAGTGATGCAGGTCTCAGACATTTACTGCTTTGTTGAAACCCATGATCATGGGTACGGTGCTGACAAACCTAAAAACACAGTTGGGGAGAACCGGGATTCAAACCCAAAATCATAAGTTTCTGGCGAGACCAAGTGATGCAACTCTGCACAGTGAATTGCGGCACCTTAGATGATTGGGCCAACCATGGCCCCGCTAAAAACATAATGACTTAATGACTGAAACATAATTGTTCAAAAGAACCAATGCCAATGTCCTCAACCATTGCATGCCCAGTGACTACACTTAGAAATGACAAACACAACATGCATACAACCCTGAGCATCACTGAGCAGCAACATAGCTCTAGCATAATTGAATACTGAGGCTACGTGATGTGTATCACTTCTTCTGACTGTTGCTGCTCTGGCACAGGACAATCCAACATGTGTAGAAGGTTGTCAAGCCTTTTTTCCATCAGTGATTATACTGCCACTACTTGTTAAATCAGTGACAATCAATATCATCAATAAGTACACAATATATGAACACAACTAAATTTCGTCAACTATAAAAATGAAAAGATCTGATTATGCTTAAGAGACAACTTAACATTAACTTATGAAACTATGGATTGCACTTTAACTTGTGAAAAAGGAACATGTGATGTATGGAAGATCATAGAATAGACAACCTTTGCCTATGTAGTCACAAAACTGAATGAACATTTCATGAGGCTTAACATACCAACATTGAATTTTACACCATAGTTTCGCACATTACACAGTAACAACATTGCACTATAAACATTCATGTGACAGCTGTCATACAATTCTACTGATATTTACCCAAGAAACAAGCTGAGAAATGAAACATTATTCTATCAAACTACTGATCCATTGGCTGATCCATGTGTCAAATAAGCAGAATAAGATTTTAACAAATAAACATAATTAAATCCAGACTTGTTTCACACAACCACTCTAAAGGCAACAGCAGGAATTACATTTTAAGTTAAGTTTTTCAATTCATTCCACCAGCAATAATATTCAACATGTTGATTTTAAGACAGTGTTTCACAATGGAAAGTACATGACATTAAACACTCACAAAATTCAATGTATTACAAACCTTATATTTTTTTTCTAGTTCATATTTGGATAGCCTGCAACTAGAGTGTGAAGAGTTACTTCCCTTTATTCTAATAAAATGCCTGACATTGAGCATGAATAGGGCTGAAATTAGGATCTTAATCACAATTGGAGACATCCTCACACAACCTTTTATTCCATGAACATATTCTGTAAGTAATGTTTGGAGACATGATTTAACACAATCCCAATAAATTCAATTTGCATCCCAGCGTTCACATGGTCTAGGACATAGTAAAACAAAATAATACAACAAAAAATATCATTCTCACAGAGTTAGAAATTTGCATTAGTCCTGTAGTCCTTGCCAAACTGCCCAATAGTTAAGGAATCAAAATGACTAGTAGAAATTTGCCATTTTTGAGGGTTTTGTTATATGTTATCATTACAAGGACAAGTGGACTTAAAATGTTAGCTTCTACCACTGTCTCTTGATCTCAACACTTGATACAGATCTTTCTGTCACTTTGCTTATTACTACCCTACATTGTGTGTCGGATGCACTGTTAATCCAAGCATGGGATTGCCACTCAGTTAGCATTATTTTCATACTTATAGATGAATCTGTCATCCACTTTATTGCCTTATTTTTCACTCAAGTTTCCAAACATTCCTATTCAGTATGAATATACCACCAACATGATTAACATAAACACACTGTGTACAGAAACAAAACTTCCTAGTTCAGCAAGACAATTATCCAATCAAACAAGTTCAAGTTACATGAACAATAACAGTTAATCATGCTCATGGTACTTTAACTTGTTCGCATGTTTCGAAAACTTGGCAAAAATCCAGGACACTCTAATCTCAAAGGACATAAACATACGTGGAGAATCTTCTGTCACTTCTTCTGGAGACACTTGCTTCCTTTCTTTGGACTCGAGATCATCAAGAACATTCTTCCCATCTTCAGCATTCTTCTGTTTGACATCACCGCTTCCATGGCTGACTTTCAACTTAACTGATTCTGAGTCGGAGTGATGAAGCTGCCGACCTAAACGGTCATGGACAGATGCACGAGATCGAGATGGAACGTCTTTATCAGAGTCAACTGTCACACTTAAAGAGTTTCTATCTCTAGACTCAAACTTGGCTTTTCTTTCGGAATGTTCCTTAGTGGAATTTGTCTTTATAGTTACTGTATTGCAGTCATCAAACGCAGTTGTTACCTTTCTGGAACGTCTGTTTTGTTTTCTTCTCCCAACATCAGAAGAAATTATTCGTCTGTTAATAGAATCAGAATGTGATTTCTTAAGGAGGGGTAATTCTGAATCAGAGTCTTCATTGTCAGAGTTATTACTCTCTTTTAACCTTGAAGACTTACTTTTCCAGTGGTCTGTGTTTTGTTTACTGTTAGGCATCACAATACTGCTGGGCAGTCTTGGTCCATCAGAATCACTCTCACTTTCACCCAAAAGTTCAACGCTACGCTGCCTTCCACCACCTCTTCTATGTTTGGATGGAACAACATCTTTTCGAGGGTCCCTAAATTGACGTCTTCTATCAGCAATTCGGTCGTGCTGAGTTGATGGGCTGCCATGATGATCTCGTCTTCTATCAAATCGTTCGAGTGTGTCTCGGACTGGTCGGCTTCTGTCTCTGTTCACACCTATCCTGTTTTTATTTTCTCTTTTCCTCCATGCCCTGCCTTCTCCACCATCACTTTCACTGTCACTAATCTGAGCATCGACATCAGATCTCGAGTCATCTGATTCATCGGCAGTAACTTCTATCTTCTTACTTTCCACAAACTTGCTGTCACTTTTGTCTCTGGACCTAGTCTTACAATCAGATCTGTCTTTTCCCTGTAAGTCTTCTTTTTGTGGCTTCACTTCATGATTTTCTTTGGAACCACTTTTCCTTCGCGTTTTCGAAGCCTTCCTCTTCTCATACCTTTCAAAATCTTTTGAGTAACGTTTAGGCACAGGAGACACAGATCTAGATTTGTGATGTTCCTTTTGTCTCTTCTTAGATCGTGGCACAATTCCCTTCAATGAAATTGTCTTTTTCACTTCACTGATCCCAGACACAGGAGAACCTTCAAATTTTCTCTTCCTTGCTTCTAACCGTTTAAGTTCATTTGCTGACATATTTGTCTTGGACACTTCTTCAACATCTTCCACCACTTTCTGAATATTACTATTTTCATACTCTTTTGATGCTACAGAGACTGTGGGAGAGTTTAGTAGATCCCCATCTTGTGGTCGATTACGGCGGTTTGTCAGTTTTTCTGATAGATCCCCTGCAACCTTGTCATTACCATTTTCCTCCTTCATTTTAGCTCTGTGATGTGCCAGTTTCTGTGAGAGATCAAAGCAAGTTGTTTGCGGCTCCACACTAGTCACAGCCTCAAGGATGTTTTTAGTGGTCCACTTCACAGGAGACTCATCTTCCTTCTCTGAGCTGGTGCTTAGGACCTGTCTGCGATCCATAGTTTCCTCAAGTAATCTATCAGTCTCAAGTCTTTCATGTTTTTCCTCTTCAGTCTCAGATTTAAGATTTACATCACTGTCAGACTTAAGGTCATCTTTTCTTTCATTTTCAGACTGGCCTTTAGTGTCACTTTCATCACTGGCACTGTCATCACTGGCACTCTCTTTGTCTTTGGACTTGTCACTTTCATAATCACATAAGCTGCTGTCACTGTCTGAGTCTGAGGACTTATCATTGTCTATTTCAGTGTCACTCTTGTTCCGATCAGATTCATTTTCTTTGTCAGAGGACTTACTGAGAGGAGCTATTCTCTCTTCTTCGTTTTCATCAGACTCCTCTTCACTTTCACTGCTGCTTGTATCAAATCTGCTGAACTTCCCTGAAGCTGAAATATAGACAAACATGTGAAATATTGTGAAAAGGAGCTCATGCTAGAAATAAAAAAAATACTCTTTTTGTGAAACACTGAGTGAAATAACAATTAAACTGCTTTGGTCCTGTATATTATTTGTAGTAGTATGAGAAAATTCTCTCAATGCTATAGGTCCCTATTTGTAAATAACAGTAGCAGTCATCACTTTGAATATGGTAGCATGTTACCATAGTCTAACTCAGTTAGACTATGGTAACATGCTACCATATTCAAAGTGATGACTGCTACTGTAAACTCATATCAGGTGACTTCATGTATTCAAAATTAGTAGTCATAGACAGATACATTCATTCACAACTAAACACATGGTTAGTAAGGGTCAAAAACGATACTTAATTAACACTACCTGTAACCTTGATAAAAACAAGATAACATGGTTAAATTAGGATCAGAATTGCTTGGGTAATCTACACTTATTTCAAAGCATTAGTAAGGTAATAGACAGACAGAACCTATCTCATATTGCTGTGGCAAAGGGCAACACCAAAATGTCTGCATACCCTTTGGTCTAGATGGACTGGCTGTCATGCTGTTACTGTCAGATGTCCCTGAGCACCACTTGTCCTGTGGGCGCAGCAGCATTGGCTTCGACGTTTCAACTTTTGGCAAGGCTTTGAGTGTGTGATCAACAGATCTGCTCTCACTAAGTGATGCTTCCCCCTGCATTGGCATGGGGCTAATAACAATCAAGTTAGTACCACGAGGTGGTAATCCTCTCGGGGCATTTCCATGACTTGCATTCCCTCTGGATACAGATGCTCTAGATGCAGCACCGCTGTGTCTAGAAGCAGTCCCCGGGGGAGTATTACTTCTGTTGACATTAGTCATGGAAGCAATACTAGAAACACCACCCCTAGCAACATTTCTTCTATGGGCCCTGCTTCGAGAAGGATGCACTCTGGATGCCTGGCCTCTACCGTAGGAAGGGTGATGATTGTGCTGGTGGTAGAAGTCAGTGGACTGGACATTGTGTACTTGTTGGTAGTTTGATGGCGGCTGTGAATACTGGTTGTGTACATACTGGGCAGGTGGCTGGCTGCTGTAGTAGTTTGGCGAGTGGCACTGGACTGGCTGTAGGTGGGTTGGGGCTGAGATGGATGTCGGGGGCGGGATACAAGAGGTCTGCAAGACAAATAGGTCATGAAACAATACCAATTAACCCTAGAATTCTAAAAAGCAATTTATTGGAAACAGAGAGCACATAAAATGACAGAACAAGTAGGTCATCAAGGTGTATGTGAGTTTTGTTTGTTCCTTAAGCCACTTTGAACAGTATTTCAGTTACATCTTGGCGTGTCAGAAAGAAAATCCAAAGTGATACAGACCTTAGATGATTACCATACGAGCATGTGGTATGGTGCTGACAAACCAGGAAATGTAATCATGGCAATTTGGGACTCCCATGATCATAGGTTTCTGGCATGTCAAGGGACACAGCTTTGCACAGATAAGTGGGCCACCTGTACCCTCAAGATATGTTATACAAACAACTTTATCTAATATTTTTTACATTTGTATACTTATTCTGCATTACTCCTTTATGCATTCACTGCTTACCTTACAACATCTTCTCGTGGCAAGGGGTGAACTGACTTTACAAGTCCAGTTTCCACCCTTGCCGAAATAGGCTGGTATTATGGAGTTACATTTTGGCTGGACTAACGAGTCTATGCATAGTCCTATCAAAATCGTGTAACGAAATCGAAATCCGGTTTGTAAACGTCGTGCAGATTTCGGTCGATTGCAGGATGTCCAAAGCATGTGCATGCAAAGCATGTGTTTTTTATATCAACGTGATCATGTGATTTGATGCACTTTGCGATGTAAGACCCGTTTTATAACAATATAGATCTTGATTATTGAACCGATCGTCTTGACTGGGTGATGCCATTATGTTTGAAGCAAATGCAAGTGTTATGAGAGGTGGAATTTGGTTGGTCAATAGGAGATGCTTAGAAGAGACACAACTTCATAATAACCACTGGTGGCATTACGATCGAGCCCAGAAATTCAAGCCTAGTTCGGCAAGGGTGGAAACTGGACTTTTATAGTCAGTCAACACCCTTGCCTCAGGAAGATGACCTTACAACAACAAGAAGACAGCCCAACAGCGATGGTCAGGGGTGAAGAAATAAGTCCATTCCAAGTCACAATCTTATATGTACCATCACTGCTGTCATGTGACCTTGATGACATGTAAGGTCACCTTCTTCACATCACTGCCTGTCGCCTGAGCTTAAAAAACATACTTTTGAGGTTTCTGTAGCCAAAGTGGGGAGGCAAGTCTGCGATGGGTGGGTCCTTAAATGTGTTAATGCAGGATAAGTATACAAATTTAAAAAATCTTTAGATTTTACTAATTTTTTTACTTATCCTGCATTACTCCTTTATGCATCTGTTTCGGACGGTTTGGTGGTGGGTAAACCTTGAGAAATACAGAAATCTCAATAAATCACAACCTGAAAACACGACAAGTTGGTCCATAAACCGTTCAGAAAAACGCAATTACGGTAGGGTTGTTCAAATATCAAAAAGATCGAACATAGGAATTAAAGAGTAGTTCCCTTTATATATTTAGTAATAAAAAAATAATAGCTAGTCAGCTAGTTCTTTTCTTACTATGTCATAGAGCAGAGGTCTGACAAAAAAGATTGTCTTCCACTGGCCGAATCTCAGTGACTTGCACAGGGAAGTAGACTGGCTCTGTATAGTGCGAATTCATTATTTGCGTTGGGGGTTGGCAACCTGCTGGGCTACAACCAGAGGGCCAAAACTTAGGGATATGGTGGTGCGACTAATTTTGGTCGGGCATAAATAACCGCTTCCTCAAACCACAGCTAGTATTGGAGGTGAGATGAGGTGAAATGGGGTTTAACGTCGCGTCCAAGATTATTGCACTTATATAGCGACGTGCATGTACGTGTGTGTGTTTGTGTGGCTGCTTGTACTAGTCCGGACTGATGCCGATTTATAGTGCTAGCTCACTGAGATACCATGCCGCAGTTTAACATGAATACCCCACTCAGACACAGTATACTGACTCGGAGCCGACCAGTCCTTGTTTTAGCCCCTTAATGCCGCGCGCCAGACAGGGTAACAACAAGTACCATATTTTAATGTCTTTTGGTATGACGCGGTCGGGGATCGAACCCCGGACCTTCCGCTCTCCGGGCGGACGCTCTATCACTAGACCACGGAGGCGGTCAGCTAGTCTTGGAACGGCAGATGAAAACTCGAAGTGCTCGCACCGGACACAGGAGAAGTTCACTCTCATCTTTGGCTCCCACAATAGTTGATATTGGTGGGATGGTGAAGGAACGATCGGGTTGGCCTGGTAGTTGATTTTTTGCTATAAAATCCCAGCACAACCCGAGATGTAACGCTCCATGTGTCCCATGCTCAAAGCAGGCCTCAGTGATGTTGATCGCATGTAGCTTGCTCACCCGTGCCGTCGTGGCTAAAGCCAAGAGAAATATTGTTTTCTTGGTGAGGTCAAAAATGCGGATGCATAGAGGGGCTCGAAGAGGGGCCCTTGCAAACCTCAAAGTACCACGTTCAAGCCCCAAGCAGGTGGGCTGAACTTAGCCTTCTGATCCTCAAGCCTGAATGAGCGTAGTAGGGCCTGAAGATCCGGGACCTTAGTCATCTTGTGTTTTTCCGGAATGGCCAACACTGAGTTAAGCGCAACCAAATACGTAGTAATGGTGCTACCTTTCAAGTGTCTTTGGGTACGCAAACGTAGGAGGTATTCGGCTAGGAATTGTGGTGACGCAGTAGTAGGGTCTTGATTTTTTGCCTCTGGTAGAGGGATGATAAGCTAGAGCTATAGATTTTGCTGCCTGTGCCGAATAGCCCTTCACACTTAACGCCTTTTAAAGACTAGGTGAGGTGAAATGGGGTTTAACGTCGCGTCCAAGATTATTGCACTTATATAGCGATGTGCATGTACTTGTGTGTGTTTGTGTGGCTGCTTGTACTAGTCCGGACTGATGCCGATTTATAGTGCTAGCTCACTGAGATACCATGCCGCAGTTGAACATGAATAATCCACTCAGACACAGTATACTGACTCCGAGCCGACCAGTCCTTGTTTTAGCCCCTTAATGCCACGCGCCAGACAGGGTAACAACAAGTACCATCTTTAAACGTCTTTTGGTATGACGCGGCCGGGGATCGAACCCAGGACCTTCCGCTCTCTGGCAGACGCTCTACCACTAGACCACGGAGGCGGTCCTCTTAAAGACAAACCAAGCATGCAGACAAAACCTGTCTGGCATTGGATGAGGCAATTTGCTGTAAGGGTGGATGAGTAGGTTGGACCACTCTAGATTTCTGAGCTTGACGAACCACCCTCTCGCCGGCCACCAGGGCGTGACTAAAGGCAGAGCAAGATTCCCTGTCTCCTTGATCTTTTGTATCACCTTGGGAAGTAGAACTTCCTTGGCAGAGCGTATGCTTTTAGCCCTTCCCAAGGGATGCTGAACCCGTCCACTGCCCATGCCTGCGGATCCGGTAACGGGGAGACATATGTCATGAAATGGTGGTTTTGGCAAGTAGCAAACAGGTCAATGTTTGGTTACCCAAACTTCTGAAGCAGTAAATGGAATACTTCTGTGTGAAGTTTCCACTTGGTGGAAGCCACCCTGTCTGGACGAGGTAATGCATCAGGCCAGTATGTTTCGACATCCGGGGATGTGCTGAACAATTAATTGTAGTTTCAGACGATACACTAGATTGAAAACCCTGAATGTCTGTTGAAGCAGGGAGTGGGAGTGTCTTGTTCCCTGATTGCACAGGCACCACACCACAGTGCTGTTGTCTGTGGATATTGCGAGTTGGATAGATTGTAGCTGATTCTGCCGATGGTATATGGCCAGAATTAACGCTTCAACTCCCAAAGTTGTTTGTGTGCCACTTTTGATGAGCGCCGGACCATAGCCCTGTGGCTGTCTGGCCTTGCAGGTGAGTACCCTTTTCCTGAAGGGATGTGTCTACGAACAGGTGTAGACTCAGGCATAACCTGGATAAAAAGACCCCTCCTAAGGCATTCGACTCTACCGTCCACCAATTGAGCTAGAGTGATGGCCTTGAGTGGATCCTGACGCCTGATGTAAGGGTTCAGAATTTTTATAATTGGGCGCAGTTGTAAGCAGCCTCTGCTGGTTAAGTCCTGTGCCGAGGCGAGTTACCCAAGCAACACCTGCCATTGGCGAAGCTTGCATGGTTGGTGTAGTGCAGGTGACAAGAGGTGTAGGATTTTGTGCCATCTGTCCCTTGGTACTGATAGGAGATCCTGATCTGTCTAGAACAGGCCTCCGATGAACTGGACCCAATACGATGGAGTTAACTCTGACATAACCTCGTTGATTACCCATCTCAGTTGATATAGTAGCTGTCTGGTGAATTCCCGGTGGCGTACTAACGTTGGCGTGTGTTGATGACACAGGAGACAGTCGTCTATGTACAACTAGAACCAAATGCTCCTCAGGTATATTCATGTTTATAGGCTTCATTACTCGTGTAAACAGCCACCGGGCTACCAAAATGCCACATGGGAGCACTGCCCACTGGAAGTGAACCCCATTGAACTGGAATCTGAGGAACCTGCGGTCAGAGGGATGGATAGGTATATGCAGATAGGGATCCCACAGGTCAGGACTGATCAAGGAATCAAATGCCTTTAGTCTGGTTCTGAGCAGTCTCAACCTGGTGAGGCGGAAGTAAGGTGGATGCTTCAGGTAACGTTCGTTGAACACGGAGAGATTGTGAATCATTTTCATCCTTCTTGGGTACCAGGAAGCTGGGGTGCATACAATCTCTACCGCTTCGTTTACCAACAGTGTGTCCATGTTGGCTTTTAAGAGCAGATGTTGCTTTCTTGGATAATTCCAAGGCGGTGGAGCTGTGGTCAACAGTGGAAGTACCTGTACACCTTGATGATAACCGTGACGTAGTACGTTGAGTACGTAATCTTCCTTGAGGATGCTCCAGTTCTTCCAGAACTGATTCAGTCAACCGCTTACGGGGTAGTCGACAATTGGGATGGCTGGGGGCGGGAGTTCCTAGTCGTGACTGTCCAACACTTCAATTGCCGATGGTGCCCCTTAAGCCGCAGTAGAAGATCGGATGGTCGGCTCGTTGATCTGAGCTTGATAAAGCTTGTTGATCTGAAGCTTGTTGAGCACCAAAGACATCAGAGGATGCGGAGGCGCCGGAGCGCGGAGACATCAGAGGCGCCTAGACATCTGCGGCGCCGGGAGCGCCGAGTCATCAGCTTGTCATGAAAAAGTCATGAAGCTTGTTGAGCGCCGAGACATCAGCGGCGCCGTCATCAGAGGCGCCGGGAGCGCCGAGTCATCAGAGGCGCCGCGTCATCAGAGGCGCCGAGTCATTGGAGGCGCCGGGAGCGCCGCGTCATCAGAGGCGCCGGGAGCGCCGAGACATCGGAGGCGCCGGGGGCGCCGGAGACATCAGCGTTGACGGTGTTGGAGACCGTGAACGGTCGTATGTCGTGCCAGGGGAGGCAGACTCTACGTTGGGAGTGCTGGAGCCGCCGGTGGAGTAGGAGACCATGAACGGTCGTATGTCGTGCCATGGGAGGCAGACTCTACGTTGGGAGCGCTGGAGCCGCCAGTGGAGTAGGAGACCGTGAACGGTCGTATGTCGTGCCATGGGAGGCAGACTCTACGTTGGGAGCCGCCGTGAAGCTCCGCTGAGCGCTGCTGCCGTCAACGTAGGTGGGGGTCCACGAGCACGTTGAGCGAGGTGTGTCCTGGATACTCGCATGAGCTGAAGGATCACAGCGACGAATGACTGCAACATCGGCACTGCCTTGTGAAAGTACAGGGCGTCGTACAATCACGGCAGAAAGGGGCGGCCCCGACCAGATTTGTTCCCGCGGCAACAAGTGCAGCGAGGCAGAAAATCTGGAATTTAAGCAAAACATAACTATGTGGCAAAGCCACAAAGTGCGGGAAGCATAATGTGTGGCCAATCACAAAGTATGGGAAGCATAAAGTAACTCAAAAACAGTATATTTTATTAAAGTTTATGAGATAAACAAGTACGCTAAAAGGGAGCGAAAAGGCAAAGCCTTAAGCAAACACGTAACCATGTGGCAAAACCACAGAGTACGGGAGACATAATGTAACTCATAAACTTCGTATTATATTGAAGTTTATGAGAAGAAACAATTACGCTGAGAGGTAGCGAAAAGGCAAGGCTTTAAGCACACCAAAACAACATACATAAATGTAATGTATTACCCAAGCCAAAGAGAGAATTCAAAACGCAGAGCACGACATTACGTGGCCACGTGGTGAATGGCCAAAATGGCGGGAAAGAAAACAAAATGGCGGGAACAACATTGCGCCCGTAAATTACTGTGACGTGAGCCACAGACGAGCGATAAACGTTACAATTTACGAATGGGAAGACCCTAAGGTCACGGCCCATAACAGGTAACAATGTAGCAGCATATAATGAATGTAGAAACACGCAAAATATAAAAAACAAATAATAAGCTTTAATTTCCACAAGGGATACAAAGTACGTCCGTCCGTGGAGGTGACAAAGCAGTTATGTCTTTTTGTGTGACGTCATGACTTCCGGGTCACGTGCCGACTGTGAGAGGGCGCTGCCTCCTGGGCTGGTTGGGACAACTTTCTTCAGCAGCTGGATCTCACACAGTTCGTCTCTCTGTCAAAGACAGCAGTAAATGCAATACAGAGTAATGCAGGATAAGTTAAAAAATGAATATGTTATACACATGTAAGCTGAGATTTGTAAACAATTTGACTACTTTGGCAGGCAAACAACTGTAACAATTCAAAATGGTGGTCAACAACAAGCACGTGGTGGGAAAAAAGACAGAGTCCTTTTACGCCTAATAATCCACATAAAACTACACAAAGATGGTAAAAGTAATATGAAAGGAATACATCTCCCATTGCAGATCAATTTTAGAATGATAGCCCTAAACTGAAGGTCTAAATTAATCCAATTTGAAGAGCTCCGCTGGGACACGTCCTTGCTGTAGCGCGACAGGCAGTGATGTGAAGAAGGTGACTTGTCATCAAAATCACATGACAGCGACGATGGTCCTTATAAAAGTGGGACTTGGAATCAACAACATCATTATTTCTTCACCAAGACCATCGTCTTCTTGTCGTCATAAGGTAAGCAGTGAATGCATTAAGGAGTAATGCAGGATAAGCAAAAAATATAAATCTTATTATTAACATTAATTTATACATCAAACTTAAAACAAAACCACCAAAGGTTAAAACTGGGAAATAAATGAAGCACTACAGCACTGAATTACTATTAGAAAATTAGTACTGTATTAGAAAGAGGGCATTGCTGCTGGCAGCGGTAATGAACACTAGATCAGGTTTTGACCTAATGATTCTTCAAAATAATTGCTATGAGAATTTCAGTGAAGCTCTGTGATTATTATTTCAGTTCTATAAGCCAAAAGGTTTCAAAGATTTTGCACAGACATCAGATAACATGTTGAGTGAGATATGAACAAGTTGTGGCACAAAAAGGACAAATTACTAATGCTACCAGTATACTCAATAATGCAATATACATTGAATAACATTGCATCTTGTACAACAGTTAATACAATACACTCTCACATGAAATATCAACTAAATCCCTTCATAATTTTTCAACAAAACCTATTACCACATGTGGATTGACTAGAGTTTTCTCAAGGGTCCTCAGAGCTGCTTCTTTCAGGGCTTTCAGATCTTCATCTTCTTCCACCACAGGCTTCTGCTTCTGTCAACATAGCAGGAAGCAGGAACTAGATGAGAGACATGCTGACAGTCTATACTATTGTTATGTCCACTAGTTTTACTAAATAATGCAACGATTTTGGACAAAACTTAAAAGTAAATGTTAGTTATAAGATTAGACCATGATCAACTTTGGTAGCATCACTACATCTTCCTCAGTTCAATATAACTGTGTATAAACATTAATACACCTTACACTGTAGCCACTAGTCTGAAGCCTGAGTCAAATTTTGTTTGGTCTAGTAAAATCAGCTAATAAAATACCATATGATAACACAAAAATGTACTAAAAATGATGCTAAGAGCCACGTTTTGGGATCGTAAACTCAAAGTTTTTGTACGTCTAGTGAACACAATTAGTGATTAACATTTATCGTATTCATGCTCAATATTCCAGCGTATCATATCTCCATTCCATAACGATAAATTCACCACCAAAGGTTTGTCTTGAGTTCATGAATGACACAACACTAAAAAATAATCATCCAATCAAATTACACAATACTGGTTACAGGCACTGGTATAGGGACGTATATCATATCACAAGTACTCGACTCATGTTACTGTGTACCGTCTCAAATACAACTGTTAACTTCTGGTAGCATGAGGACGTCCCTCCATCTGTCTTAATACTAAAGAAAACATCTCTTTCAGCTAGAGGTTCATTCCAATCATTTGGATTGGTTGCTGAGTTCAAACACATCGGCGACAGAAATTCTGTGCTAGTATAGTGATGCAGGAGATGGAGATAGTGACATCACCTCTGCAACAAGCTTTGGTGATGAATGGTTCCAGGGTATGCAGTATATGAAATTATTTTAAAACCCAAAAAGAAAGTTGGGCTTGTGATCATAAATGTAGCCTGCCTATCTTCAAAGTTATCTGCCCACATTCAAACATCATAAATATTGAAAAAAATGCTAAAACTAAGAAACAAATCGGATCTTGATTCAGCTGAAAAAAAGCTAAATTACTTGAGAATCTATGAGGAGTTATAATAAAACTTATTGACTTAAAATTATCTGCCAGAGTCGGGCAGGTAGACAAAAATTTCATGCAGTACAACAGAAAGGTTACCAGCCATAGGTAGGCGGGCACATCGGGCAGGCAGTTATTGCGTACACTAGAGGCTATGTACATCATAATGTATAGAAGATAAAACAAAAGCTTGATAATCAAGGATTTACTGTAATTTAATAATGGGAGCATAACTTACATTTTTCATAGAAGCAAGTGCAGCAAATCTCAATGCTGCCAATTCTTCATCCTGAAAATAAACAAAACAATGTTACTGTGTAATAACAAACAATACAAAGACATTCAGAGTGAACTACAGACTTGAGGAAGATGTGGAAGACAGAACCAAGAAGAAAATTTGAAAATCATGATCTTTGTGTGTAAATTATTAATAATATGCATTTGCAATAAAAAACACACATTATTTTTCAGATGATAAACAGATAAGAGATTACACACATAACCAATAATTTCTATCCAGAATTGTGTTTCTGCTGATTTACTCCCCGAGTTTATGCTGCTTCAACACTTGAATGTATCCCTGTAATCTTGCATGATAGTCTAACTGTAGATTATTGGAACTCTTGCAACTATATTTGGTATGTCCCAACAGCATTTTTTTATTGCATAAATAAACACAATGAGGACCTGGGTCACCAGAAAACATAAAGCTGGTCACAAGAGGTGACTGAGTTGGGCTGGGTGGTCTGGTGCACATTGTGCACATTCTGCAAGTAATGACATATACCACTGTCACAAGCCAATTTGCCTATCACGTGACCAGAACAAAAGTGCTAATTCTGAAATCAGAGACAGTGTGTGAGTTGGGTTTACACTGCTTTGAACTTATTCTAGTCATATCACAGAATGAAGCTTGATGTGGGAAGAAAGCCCTTAATCATGCAGGCCTTAACGTTTCCAGTTTGGGTGAAAGCATCCCTAACTCTCCAAAGGACTTTTGGATGTCTGCACGTAGAATTGTACAACTATTGTAAACAATGGATAAATATGGTAATGATAGTAAATTGTCATGTTTTAGGGTATTTTCCATGAGTTTGTTCAACATTTCATGGCATGTTAATCTAAACGTGAAGAATTCAAAAATTGAAACACAAAAATGAAAAACTTATTCTAATTAATTGAATAGATAGTTTAAGAGGTGCTGGGAGAGTGGTCTTTGCATATAAATAATCCGCACTCATTAATATGGTGTAAAATGATTTGTCAATCTTGTTCATGAGACAACTTTGAAACCAGTGACTGTCTTGACAAGGCAAACACCATGGTTGCTAAATCTAAGGACTTTTAAGGGGTGCTAATATGAGTCAAAAGAAGACTTTGTTGTAAACAAATATGTACATGAGGTACATTTCTTGTATCTGTTCCAACAACAACTAGTAAAGCTGAAACAATGGACTATGTAATCCTGACACGTTCTTGTATCTAACTAACCTGTCTCTACAGTCTTAACTAGAGTAGCTGAAGTATGTACACTTCCTGACTTCTAGTTATCTCCCAAGCTTGCACTGAAACAATTTTGTGATTGTACCCAAATAAATGTTATGCAATGATCTAGATGGCTGTTTAACACAGTACTCATGATGTTCTTCATATGAGGGCTGGTCCAAGTTCTAAGCCTGACTAACCTTCAACTAAGTGCATAAGAAAGTGAAGTAGTCAATGTAGTACATTGTTTGAGTAGTTCATTGCAAGTGTATTTGGTCTGTTGAGGCCTTTTGTATATTAGTGACAAACAGTTGAATGTGATAGGGGTCCAAATGGACACAGAAATGGAAAAGAACGAGTACCGGGCAGTCATCAAGTTTTTGACTAAGAGAAAAGTACTCCCAAAGAAATTCATGACCGCATGTCACAAGTGTATGGAAATAGGTTCCTGGCTAATCCACTGTTAAATGTTGGCCAGATGTGTTTAATGCCGGGAGAACAAGCCTTGATGAAGACACAAGTCTAAGCCATGGATCCATTGAAACTATTATTCATGAACATTTACAGATGAATAAGACATCTGCTCGTGTGGTGCTAAAGTTTCTTAATTCTGATCTTAAGGAAAAAAGAACTGACACTGCCAGAGAAAATTCAGAGCTGAGTGAGGAGGATTATGTCAAATTCAAAAAGAGATTAGTAACGGCTGATGAAACATGAGTCAACCACAATGATCCCGAGTCAAAACGTCAATCCATGGAAAGGCACCATTCCACCAAAGAAATTTAAGTCTTCAAGATCAGTGAAGACAGTTATGGCCACTGTATTGAGTGTATTCTGGGATGCATAAGGTGTGATCCTTGTTGATTACTTAGACAGTCAAAAGACGATTATCTGTGCCTACTATGCTGATTTGGCTCTGAGAGATTCTATCAAAGAAAAGTGGCAAGGAATGCTGACTGCTGGAGTTGTACTCCTTCTCACACCTCTGGACTTGCAAAAGGTGTTTGCGACAATGTGGGTTCGAAGAGCTTCCTCACTCGCCAGACCTGGCAGTAAGTGATTTCCACCTGCTTCCTAAACTGAAGACACCTTGGTGGAGAGCGCTATGATGACAATGATGTCCTCAAAGCTGTCGTGAATGGGTTTTTCAAGGTGGTTTCGGAAACTTCTTCCTGACTGGAATTGAAAAGCTTCACTATTGATATGAGAAGTGTATTGAAAAACAGGGAGATTAAGTGTAAAAATAAAATTAAAAACACTTTCACAATGGTGGTTCTGTTCGTTAGGCTTAGAACTAGTGACTGATATACTTATTTGTTTCTAGATTTATTAATAAACTTCAATATATATATATCACTGATCTATGATAAGTAATTTTTTTGAGGATGCAGAATGCACTGGGTCAATAAATGCACTTGGTGACTGGAGCGTGACTTCGGTGAAACAGAGCAGGGGATAGCTGAGGTAATCATATTTCTGTGCTGCTAACTATAAACGATTTTAACATTGACTTGTCACTAAAAAAGAACTACAACCTGTCACAGTTTGTTTTTCTAACAGATTCTGTACCCTTTAGATGATTCCAAGTACATAGGGAGTTGCATAATCAAAAATATAAGCACACATATTTAAAGGGTTGTGTTTTGGGGACTACGATTCCTGTACATTATGGCAAGGTCGTGGTGTGGATGCAAATATATTATTAATAAATCTGGAATAGATACTACTGGGAACAGTCTTGGCTGCTATTTATTGGCATTATTCCTATGTATGTTTAGGGGTTATAGCTAAAACGGCACCTCAGCAAAACGTCACCTGGCGAAAACGGCACCTATTGGCGAAAACGTCACCTCGCCTCAGGCGAAAACGGCTACTATTGCCTGGCGAAAACGGCACCTTATGTTTTTTTAACCTTGATAAAATAAATGATATTAAACTAACATGGTCGCTTGCAAACACCAATGATTGTGAAATGTTACAACTAGCTTACATTAGAATTGAGCCTCTACTCCAACTTTAATCCAACTTAGCCTATACGCAACTCAACTTATTGTGAAAACATAACATGCCTTGAAGTAAAATAAATGAAACTAAACTCACATCGTCTCTTACAAACACTAATAGTAGTGAAATGTTTAAACAAGTTTACAGTTGAAATTAGCCCCCTACTGTCCAGGACATTTTTTGTGAGGCCAAGAGAATATCCTCCTGGTAAATAGAGGTGCCGTTCTCGCCTGTCACATAGTAGCCGTTTTCGCCAAATGCGGTGCCGTTTTCGCCAGAGAAATCGGTGACGTTTTGCTGAGGTGCCGTTTTAGCCTGCACCCTATGTTTAGAAAGACTTCCGCCTGTATCCCCCCTCGAAAGGTTATGTATGTAGGCACTCTGCTCAATCATTTTAATTATATATATTAATATATTATAATATATATTATGGGCGGCAGTCATTCGTATTTTTGTTAAGTGGAGGACCTTATGGGTCATGTAGTGATCCTCGTGTCGCAAATCACGTGTTGAAAACTAAAAGATAGTTCACCTGTGTGTACAACTCAGTACAAACAGAAAAATCTTGTGATTCGAATGACATGAAGATCATGCAATGAAAACATCTAGTAACACTAAATGATGAGCAAATAGTTTTTTTTGCCAATGCTTTTGGGTACTGTAACGCGTTGGATAGTTACAAACACGACGAGTACGCGGGAAGCAGTTTGCTCTGCTCTGAGATGCAGATAGTGTAAACACAATGTCAGAAACATTCAAATATGGGATCCAGTGAACACTGCGCTGCAACCCATGATACTTGCAAAATGTGATGGTAATAATGTCTTTAGAAAACATGAAAAAGCTTTCATAGATAAAGAGGAGTGTGGCAAAGTTTGACACCATGAAACATGAGTACCTCTTCATCCGACGCCATTTTGACGATTAAAGGTTCGCAGCCAATGTTAAAAAAAGAATTGTTTCATATAAAATCATATCACTCGACAAATTAACAGATTATACTTCGTATGTTCAAAATAAAAATTATTATCCCTGTTCACTTTTAATCATGTAGTAAAAGAATCCGCACTCATCAATATGAAGTAAAATGATTGGTCAGTCTTATTCACGAGCCAAATTTGAAACAACAAGTGCTCGTCTTGGCAAGGCAAACACCACGGTTGCAGTCAACATCTCTGCGACAAGAAACACGTTGGATGGACTGTGTCTCTAACTGAATTTAAGAAACTAATGTCTGGTGAGATATAGTAAATATGATCAAATGCATTTTATGTACCCTAGTGATAAAGACAAGGTGGAGTTTTCAAATTCACAATGGTTGACTTTTGATCGATATTATTTCACACTAAATCTACTCACTAGCATAGTTGTCATCAAATTCTATACATACCATAAGTAAAAACACTAAGTCCAGATGTTGTTACATACAGATTATAATAAATATATATTGAAGTTCAATTATGCAATGTTAGTATTTAGTAACACTCCAGCTAGAAAATAATGAACCTACGGGGGTGCAGGCTAGAACGGCACCTCAGCAAAACGTCACTGATTTCTCGGGCGAAAACAGGACCTCTATTTTGAATAACAAGAACGATTTATGTGGAAGTATATATGCTTGATTTACATTCTTTATTATGTTGTGTTGTAGCATATATTATTTCCTTCGGCGGGGACGCAGTCTGTTATCCGCAGAAACATTCTTGTTACGTTGGCTGCCGGCAGAAAGGAGAGATATATATGAAATATTTGTAAAATTACTATTTATTTCCTACTTACTAAAATAAATATTAAATGTATAGTATACCTGTAGTCCAGTTTCTTGACATTTCCGCCATACTCAGTTTCACTGACAGTTTATCAGTATTTTTTTTCATGTTATTTTCTGACATAATCCGTGTACAAAGTTGACTGTACGAATAACTTTGTTTTTTTACAACTATGAGCAAATGCCCATATTTCTGTCCATGGAATACGTTTCTGTAGATTTCTGTTATAACACTACCACAGGGAATCTGACTAATAGCTGTATCAGTTATCGCTCATCTTTATAGCATGTCATTTATATGCACCACTTTAGTTATACAAATTGCATTTTATAGTATCTCGGGTATTGCACTCAAATTTTTTTATTCATCAAAATTAATATGAAAAGCTGTTATCAATTTATCGACTGCAAACTGACGTAAACCCATGTTCCCCAAATTGAATCTGCACATTTTTGTCCTTTTTGTGATATATATACAGGTTATGCATTTTTGGTAAAACAGCTCAAATATGTTTAAGACTTATTTTGGATAATAAATGACATACAGATAGTAAGCAATGACAGAACTGAATGCGCATCATCACGTTTGAATTTAATTTTCGCATGAATAAGTCACGTGACACCCCCGCATATTGTATCATGTGTGCGCTATAAGAGGGAATTGGCAATATTGGTACATGTGTATATATATATATACTCTTCAAAAAAGAAACTTGACACTGACTTTCAAAATGTAGTATAATGCAATTGTTTCAAAATAGGACACAGAAACCATAATTGAAACACTGTTTGAAGATCAATGTACACAATGTTCAAAACATTAATCGTGTAACCTAGACAGACACACGTACACGACAGAGTTAATGTCACAGGGGTACAGAAAATGTCAGTATAGGTTGTGCCCACCACGTGCATCAATCACCGCTTGACGCAAACAACCCATAGATGCAATCATGTTGTCAATAACACGCTGTTGGATATGCTGTCATTCATGCTGAAGTGCATCAAGAAGTGCCGGAAGTGTTTGGGGCGGTGGATTCCTTCTGCGAACGCTTCGATCCAGTTCGTCCCACAGATGCTCAATCGGGGACAAATCTGGTGACCAGGCTGGCCAAAGTAATGTCTGGATGTTGTTGTGGTGTAAGAAGTCCTGACAAACACGTGCAATATGCGGTCGAGCGTTGTCCTGCTGGAACTGTCCGCCATGAATGTTGACGTGAGGAAGAACGTAAGGCTGTAGGATCAAGTCTCTGTAACGCACACCTGTCAATGCACCTGCCACATGCACGAGAGGCGTCCTACCACCGTGATGAATTCCGGCCCATACCATGACACTCCCGCCGCCAAATGGGACAACCTGCTGCACACAGTTGGGGGCGTAACGTTCACCCCGACGTCTGTAGACACGTGCGCGCCCATCAGCATGTGTGAGTAGGAAACGGGACTCGTCAGTAAACAGTACATTTCTCCACCTTGCACGTGCCCATCTAATCCTCTGTTGGCACCAAAGCAGACGGTCCGCCAGATGACGTGGGGTCAATACATGACGTCGAACAGGTCTTCGTGCAAAAAGTCCAGCCTCCCTCAGTCTGTTGCGTACCGTTTGATCTGATATTCTGTGTACCCCAGGGATCTGTGTGGTTGTAGACGTGGCTGGTAGTGCGGTCTCGGAGGTGTCGCAGCCGGATGTATCGATCTTGTGCTTGGGGTGTCACCCTTGGTCTTCCTGACCTTGGTCTGTCGTCAACTCTGTTGTTGTTGTTGTATCGGGTCCACAGTGCGGAGATTGTCTGTCTGGATACGCCAAAGTGCCTGGCCACTTCTTGTTGAGTTGCTCCAGCTTGTAATCTCTCAATGGTGTTGTTCCTTTGAGCTGCATTCAGTCTTGGCATTCTGTCACCGCCTCTACTGCTGTTATAAGGACTGTATGAACAGCCGTTGTGGATTTTTATACCCATTCAGCAGGGGGGCCTGCATGCCTAAATGCAGGATCCTGTGCTGCACGTTTTTTACAGGCGGTTGCGTTTGGATGAAGCTGTAAAATTGATCACCAAACGCTATGTTTATGTGCTTTGCATGTGTTTTTGCGAATTATAGACACATCATCTTTCCATTTGACTTATTTGGTTCTCATTTAATGTAATTATTTTAGATATTTGGCAAAAAGTGGTTTTACATCTATGTCAAGTTTCTTTTTTTGAAGAGTATATATATATATACTTGATGGACTCCCAGGCAAGGGTGCCGATCATGATGAACCCTTGATCGTCAACGACTGGGTCCTCCCATCCCCAGTTGTTCCAGGCACCAACTCGGCCGTAGCTGGGAGACTCGGCAGGTTTGGGAAGAATTGGACCATACTAGAGGTACCGTGTGTCACCAACATCCACTGCCAGGGGTACCAACACAAAGGATACTCCCCTGATATCATCACCCCTGGCAGATGGTTATACCCACCATCAGCGCCAACTTCTGTGCGACAACATAAACATTCTGCTACTCCAGGAGGCCATCAAGATTGTTCCTGACCCGGTCAGACACCCAGGATTTTACTCCCTCGTATTTCTGGTCCTTAAGAAGGGGTCAGACAAACTCAACATGATCCACAATCTAGCCATCTTCAATCGATACTATCCGGACTAACTCCGTACTTCATGATCACCACATTGAGGCTGCTCAAGGACCAGAATCAACGCCAACGCTGCCCCAATCAGCCTTGATATCCAAGATGCGTATCTTCATGTGCCCATCCACACCAGCGACAGGTTCTACTTAAATGGTAGCATTATCAGTGGGCGGTCCTACCATTTGGAATTTCCACGTCCCCGTGGCTTTTCACACAGATCACCAAGCCCACCAAACAGGACTTCTTACAGGTACCCAGGTATCCTCCACCACTTACTCCCAGTTCTTCCACAAGCCCAGACACTCTGCCAGTGGCAAATGTTGTTGGGCTTACTCAGCTCAACGCAGAACCTGAATTCCATGGGACGTGTCCAGCTGCAACCTATCCAGCAGTTCCTCGCCCCCTTCATCAGGGGCCACTATCCATCGGCGTCCATCTTCCTCCTGGCTTACCGGCATCATCGCCAATGGTGGACAGTGGCGTCAAATGTCTTCAGCAGCGTCTCCTTGACCTCGCTCAACCCCACTATATCTGTTCGTCAGTGCCTCCATATGGGTGGGGAGCCCATCTGGCAGCTACCTCAGGGTTGTGGTTAGAAGAACAGGGCCACTGGCACAGCACAAATCTGGAGTTAGCTCTTATTCTGGCTGTCGCGTATTGGCAAGCCATTCTCTACCAAGACAAGTGGACTATATCCAGACAACATCACAGTGGTGAGGTGTCTTCGGAATCAAACATTCCATTCTTTTCGACTGGTGGACTGTCTTGACCTCATTTTCTCGTTCAACACATTCCAGGCTGCTGTTACGTTTACGTTTGTATGCTTATCCTGCATTACTTTCTCTAAGTGCCCTCCCATCGCAGTGCTACCTCCCCACGAAGTCTTCAGATGTTACGTCCTAAAGCAGTAATGTGCTCTTATGTGACGTCACCACTTCCGGGTCACTTGGCGGCTGTGTGAGAGTACTACCACATTTTAGGCTTTGACAACTTTCTTTTACAGCTGGACCTCTCAGAACTTGTCTTTCTGTAAAAAAACCCAACAGTAAATGCATTCAGGAGCAGGGCTCCAGATAAGTTTTCAGCATTAACAGTTCGTACTCCTCATTATTTCAATATAGGAGTCCTGGCAAAACTAAAGAGTACACTCAGAGTACTGAATGGAACTTAATGTACTCATCTTGTATTTCGTTTTAGATATGCACCAAAGCATTGCTACAGTCGTGTAAACAGGCCAATAAACAATACTTTTTTTTGTTTTACATGTATATCTATTATAAAATGCACACCCCTCTAGGAAATTGTTTTTTAGAATTATGAGCAGAAATTTGTTACAATGTATCCCTTCAGCAAAGTCAGGCAAACAAACAAGTGATAACAAACTTGGTTACTACATATTTGAAATTTGAGATAAAACATCACTAGACATGATGATTTACCGTTTAGATTGTCTTGTTCTACTAGGCATTGTTTTATATGTAGAGAATTAGATTACCGTGTGTATTTTCCCTTAAATAAATCTGGGGACAGCAATCAGTTTACAATACATATGTTTTCTCACAATCTACCAGTGATTCTGTCAAAATTTACTCAATAATATAAGAAGTTTGATGCAGTCACCTTACGAATTGTACCTGTTACTATTATTTTATCAGGAATAATATATTTCAATATTGTGTTACTCGTATTCTAGTTGCCACTTTATGATATATTTTAAATGATAATAACCATAAGTGTAGTACTAACAGCAGACTGTATTACCAGATATTAACAAATTAATAACAATATAAACAGTCATGTTGAAGCTCCCATGCTAGCGCTTGCGAAAACTCTATCTTGACATATAACAGTCAAACTACAACAAATATGACTCTTAACGATTCAAAGAAATTTATGATATATGTATCCATTTTCTGTCAACTAAAGTTCATTTCAAGATGTCAATAATGGTTATCTCACCATGGTTGCTGTAAATCATGGTTATAACGCTTATCTCACCATGGTTGCTGTAAATCATGGTGAGTTGTGCGATCTACCGATCACTTCACATACGATTTCGCCAAAATTAATGAAAACAATTATGAATGAAACTTTGAATAAAATTATTAAAATAGGTTAGAAACATAGGTCAAGGTATACAATGAAAATGACAATTTTTGTAACCAGTCAGTGTAATTACATGATCAATTTGTGTATTTTCTGGTGTTACATGCCCTTGGTAATGTCTTTGTGTTGGGGAAAAGGCATCAAAACTCATAACGAGTATAATGTGCACCCCCTTCACACAGCTATGTTTATTTGGAAAAAGTAGTCACTATACTTAGGAAAATACGCTACTTGAAATCAGGATGTAATTTTTGATAAATATGTCTGCAAATGAATGTTAGACTGTACATGTATGCTATGATGCATATCTGATATGTTTTCTAAATAATCCCCCACCGTATCGTGCATTATTTATCCGTATATACGACGATACAGATACATGTACTTTATCTGGACCCCTGAAGGAGTTATGCAGGATAAGTTGATAAATTTGCATTAAGGAGTAATGCAGTATAAGTATACAAATGTAAACAAATATTTAGATTTTACTAATCTGTACAGATAATGTGCCCTTGTCACAGAAATATATTTTTGGTGAAAACAAGAATGTAGCTCTATCAAATTTTCAATTTACGTTCTTCAATCACCAGGTTTATCTTTCAAACAAACTATGAAATCCACATCTACTAATTATGCTAAATGTATTAGGCTTCAGAACATGAACAATGCTTTTATAGGTCACACTGGTCAACATTTACCCTCCTATTTATTTAATAGGTTCCCCAGGTCTCACAAACAGACCATAGCAGACCACTGCTGTAATGTAAATGTTACTGAGTGCAACATGCTGATTTTTCAGCCCCACCACTCACTGAATACATCAACACTGAATTGAGCAACTAAGTCCATAAGTCCATCCGAGGAGGTAAGATGTCGTCCCAGTATCCGGAGCTGAAGGGCTTCTACCACCTGCGTGAAACCATTGGTTCTGGTGAGTAATTTGAGTAGATGAAAACACTTTACTTTCAACATTAGACATTCATTTTCATGATCTAAAGTCTCAAGAAGTTAATGTTCCACCCACAGTGTCAAAATGCTTATTCATAATGATTAAGGCATTCACAGGACATGTAGAATTACAGACATTTCCCATATATGTCATCACATGGACTTCTTACTGATTGAGTTGCCATGTGTGAAGTTTTGCTCATGTGACCACATCCCAAAAACCTGAGTGTATGTTTTACCCTACTTATTGACATTGATTGAATTCAATTTCCAGCCACTCTCTACGGCTGTGCAAATCTGTACTATATGTGTATCCAGGTCCGGATGCAATACCAGATTTCAAGGTGTACATAAACTTCAGTGCCGCACTCAAATTACTGGGCGTTTGTCACATTGACCTCTACACTCTTGTATCATTATGATTTGCCATAGGCTTGGAACATAATCATCATGTAACAAGATGTATATCAACAGAATACCACAAAGCTTTGTTGTCACTAAGTTTAGTGTACAATTCATTGCAATGTGACATCAGTGGAACCAGATAAGCCAGTCAAAACATTACCTTGCTAGTCAATTTGGTCACCAGCTGTCATATTCTTACTTTGAGGTACAATCCATTTTTGAAATTAGAGAAGTTTTAATGCAAGAGATGAATGTAGGACACTTTCCATTTTTGCACTTTTGCAGTTTATTGCATTTAACCGGGGCAAGGGTGGCCCAGTCGTCTCAGGTGCTGCAATTCGCTGTGCAGAGTTGCTTCCCTTGGGCACGCCAGGTCCTGTGATTGTGGGTTTGAATCCCAGTTCACCCCGATTATGTTTCTAGGTTTGTCAGCACCATACCTGTGCTCATGGGTTTCACTGAAGTGGTAAACATCTCAGACCTGCATCACTTCAGGCTTTCCTCCCACATTAAGCTGACACGCCGTGATATAACTGGAACACTGTTAAAAGCAGAGTTAAACCCAACTCACTCACTCACTATTGCATTTAACCGAGAAAATGTGTCTGAAAGTTTTCAAGCACTCGTAATACTGCCCCCATTTTGAAAATACACCATGTGATCACAAGGTGTTTGGTGATATGGCATCACTGAAATGTCAAGACAAAGGTGCCAATAAAGAATTACATCTCTTTGAAGAAGAGTTACCCTTTTTTTCGCGTCTTGAATTAACCCTAAAACACCCAGAAATTTGAGCGCAGCATTGAAATTTGCATATGCCTTAAAATCTGGTGTTGCTTCCAGACCAGGTATCTGCCTAACAATGTCAGATGTCTGTGTTATACATGTATGTATCTTCCATGTGCCTGACACACGGAGATGTTTGTATTTGCCAGGTGGGTTTGCCAAGGTGAAGCTGGCCTATCATGCCCTCACTGGGGAGAAGGTTGCAGTCAAGATCATGGACAAGAAGGCTCTTGGGGTTAGATTTACTTTGTGAAGCTTAATTTATTTGTTTACTGAATATCTATCTATATGTTGCAAGGTTCCAGACAGCTGTGTATTTGTGTAAAATATGCTAACAGAAAACACAAGAATCCAACTAATTTTAAGTTGCTTGTGCACAAATATGCATGAAGAAATTTGTAAACTCAAGACCACATAACATCATTATTTGTAATTATCTAATGTAGCTTTGTCAGTTTGCTAAACGTGTCTTAACAGTTGCAACATCTCAATTATTGTAAATTAAACATGTATCACTGTTAGAGGTAACATGTGAAGATCCAAGCTAGAATAGGTCTTCAGTAACCAATGCTTGCTGTAAAGGGCAACTATGCTTGTCGTAAGAGGCAACTAACGGGTTTGGGTGGTCAGGCTTGGTGACTTGGTTGATGCATGTCCTTGTATCCCAATTGTGTGGATCGATGCGTGTGATTTCAGTCACTGGATAGTCTGGCCCAGACTCAGTTATTTACAGACTGCTGTCATATAGCTGGAATATTGCTGAGTGCGGCGTTAAACAAAAAACAAACAAAAAACAAGCAAACACATGTTAAGGGGTTTGTCACTCACTTGGTACAGCACATTAACATATGCAAATTGGAAGTTACCTTAAACAGCATAGAAGTATCTTCAAAAACATCTATTCATTGGTTAACAACACCCAATAGACTGGTCCCATGAGAGTGTTATTGAATATATTGAATACCCAAAGAAAACTGTTAACATGATTAATCCCCAATGTGAATGATAACATGTGAGTAAATACTCAGTGGCTCAAAACATTGTCTGCAGCCCTGTTATTATGTTCCGCTATAAAACAATAAACTCTCCTTGAGAATAACTAAGTTAAGAAGTTTGAGTATTTACAAAGGAGTCACACCTTTCCTTATACATGTACATGTTTAGGCCTTGATGTGATAGTTTCAAAGCCTTGGCCCTTTTGATTATGTTGAGTGTTGGGAATATTAAGAATATTTATATAAAATGCATTGAACAGACTTTGATATATTCTGCATTTAATAAATACTATCTGACTCAGTCTTCTCATTTCATTAAACACAGATGTTTAACTCAAGACCTGACAATTCCTTGGTAGGAGATCCCGTCAGGTGAACCCAGAGTAAACTTGTTGACCACACAGCAAAAGAAAAAGATGTATTATTTTTTTTAGCCAAGCAGATGTCAGCTTTTAGGTTGATTTGGCCTTTTTACATTCTTTTGTAGGGGGGTCACGATAAATCGAAAGTGATCATGAGTGGTAATGTGGAAGTTTCTTTTTCTTAAATTATGAGGGTAAAGAAAAGAAAAATCAGTCATATCTTAAACTTTACTTTTTATTTGTTGTTATGGTTATCACATTCAAAGGAAACTTCAGTTCCAAGGTTTAATTCAACTCTAAAATCCATCTAAAATGATACACTGAAAGCTATTGATATTTATTGCAATAGTTGCTTGCAATATCAATAGTTAATGCAATAGTTTCTTTCAATATCAATAGTTATCGCAGTAGTGATTTCCAGACCAATAGTCACCCCTATTCTTTTGTCAACACAAGATATTGTCAGTTGCACTTTGTGCTTGTTAGATTTCATGACCTCCTATCCCTGATTCAGATGTGTATACCAAGAGAGAAATGCACTTGTTTCAGATGTGTCAGAGATTTGAAGGTGTGGCTTTTGAAGTAAAGGTTTGAAGACCCAAACTTGATAAGAGTAAATTTATGATCACAGGAGGACCTGCCCAGAGTTAAGACAGAGATAGCTGCCATGAAGGAGCTGTGCCACCAGCATATCTGTAAGCTGTTCCAAGTGGTGGAGACTGAGGACAGGTTCTACATGATACTCGAGGTAACAGCTGACACAGAAGGGTGGCGTGTGTCTGCGTCTGCGTCTGCGTCTGTGTCTGCGTTTGTGTGTGTGGGGGGGATCTGCAGCAAGGGTAGGGGAGAAGGTGTGTCCTGGGTGAGGTGACATGGGATGTGCAGCAAGGGTAGGGGAGAAGGTGTGTCCTGGGGGAGGTGATGTGGGATCTGCAGCAAGGGTAGGGGAGAAGGTGTGTCCTGGGGGAGGTGATGTGGGATCTGCAGCAAGGGTAGGGGAGAAGGTGTGTCCTGGAGGAGGTGACATGGGATGTGCAGCAAGGGTAGGGGAGGTGTGTCCTGGGGGAGGTGATGTGGGATGTGCAGCAAGGGTAGGGGAGAAGGTGTGTCCTGGGGGAGGTGATGTGGGATGTGCAGCAAGGGTAGGGGAGAAGGTGTGTCCTGGGGGAGGTGATGTGGGATCTGCAGCAAGGGTAGGGGAGAAGGTGTGTCCTGGAGGAGGTGACATGGGATCTGCAGCAAGGGTAGGGGAGGTGTGTCCTGGGGGAGGTGATGTGGGATGTGCAGCAAGGGTAGGGGAGAAGGTGTGTCCTTGGGGGAGGTGACGTTGGATGTGCAGCAAGGGTAGGGGACAAGGTGTGTCCTGGGGGAGGTGACGTGGGATGTATTGGAAGGGTAGGGGACGTGTGTCCTGGGAGAGGTGATGTGGGATGTGCAGCAAGGGTAGGGGAGAAGGTGTGTCCTGGGGGAGGTGATGTGGGATCTGCAGCAAGGGTAGGGGAGAAGGTGTGTCCTGGGGGAGGTGACGTGGGATGTGCAGCAAGGGAAGGTGAGAAGGTGTGTCCTGGGGGAGGTGACGTGGGATCTGCAGCAAGGGTAGGGGAGAAGGTGTGTCCTGGGGGAGGTGACGTGGGATCTGCAGGAAGGGTAGGGGACGTGTGTCCTGGGAGAGGTGATGTGGGATCTGCAGGAAGGGTAGGGGAGAAGGTGTGTCCTGGGGGAGGTGACATGGGATGTGCAGCAAGGGTAGGGGACGTGTGTCCTGGGGGAGGTGACGTGGGATCTGCAGGAAGGGTAGGGGAGAAGGTGTGTCCTGGGGGAGGTGACATGGGATGTGCAGCAAGGGTAGGGGACAAGGTGTGTCCTGGGGGAGGTGACGTGGGATGTGCAGCAAGGGTAGGGGAGAAGGTGTGTCCTTGGGGGAGGTGACGTGGGATGTGCAGCAAGGGTAGGGGACAAGGTGTGTCCTAGGGGAGGTGACGTGTGATCTGCAAGAAGAATAGGGGAGATTTGGTGATTTTGGATTTATACATAATGGGGAGAAAAAATGTCCCTTTGGGTGGGATATATACATGTAGGGGAGGGGTGTGTTCCTTTGGCCGGGATGAAGTGGGATATATATATGAGGGGGAGAGGAAGTGTTCCTTTTGGGTGGGATATATACATGTTGGAGAGGAAGTGTTCCTTTGGGTGGGATATATACATGATGTGGAGGGGAAATGTTCCCTTGGGTGGGATGGAGTGGGATATATACATGAGGGGGAGAGGAAGTGTTCCTTTGGGTGGGATGAAGTGGGAAATATACATGAGCGGGAGAGGAAGTGTTCCTTTGGGTGGGATGGAGTGGGAAATATACATGAGAGGGAGAGGAAGTGTTCCTTTGGGTGGGATGAATTGGGATATATACATGAGCGGGAGAGGAAGTGTTCCTTTGGCCCTTATGAAGTGGGATATACATATGTTGTGGAGAGGAAGTGTTCCTTTGGGTGGGATGAAGTGGGATATATACATGATGTGGAGAGGAAATGTTCCCTTGGGCGGGATGGAGTGTGTTCCTTTGGGTGGGATGAATTGGGATATATACATGAGCGGGAGAGGAAGTGTTCCTTTGGGTGGGATGAATTGGGATATATACATGAGCGGGAGATGAAGGGTTCTTTTGGGTGGGATGGAGTGGGATATATACATGATGTGGAGAGGCAGTGTTCCCTTGGTTTGGTTGAAGTAGGATATATACATGAGGGGGAGAGGAAGTGTTCTGTTGGGTAGGGGGAAGTGGGATATATACATGATGTGGAGAGGAAATGTTCCCTTGGGTGGGACTGAGTGTGTTCCTTTGGGTGGGATGAATTGGGATATATACATGAGGGGGAAAGGAAGTGTTCTGTTGGGTAGGGGGAAGTGGGATATATACATGATGTGGAGAGGAAATGTTCCCTTGGGTGGGATGGAGTGTGTTCCTTTGGGTGGGATGAATTGGGATATATACATGAGGGGGAAAGGAAGTGTTCTGTTGGGTGGGGTGAAGTGGGATATATTCATGAGGGGGAGAGGAAGTGTTCTGTTGGGTGGGGTGAAGTAGGATATATACATGAGGGGGAAAGGAAGTGTTCTGTTGGGTGGGGTGAAGTGGGATATATTCATGAGGGGGAGAGGAAATGTTCTGTAGGGTGGGGTGAAGTGGGATATATTCATGAGGGGGAGAGGAAGTGTTCTGTTGGGTGGGGTGAAGTAGGATATATACATGAGGGGGAGAGGAAGTGTTCTGTTGGGTGGGGTGAAGTGGGATATATTCATGAGGGGGAGAGGAAGTGTTCTGTTGGGTGGGGTGAAGTGGGATATATTCATGAGGGGGAGAGGAAGTGTTCTGTTGGGTGGGGTGAAGTGGGATATATTCATGAGGGGGAAAGGAAGTGTTCTGTTGGGTGGGGTGAAGTGGGATATATTCATGAGGGGGAGAGGAAGTGTTCTGTTGGGTGGGGTGAAGTGGGATATATACATGAGGGGGAAAGGAAGTGTTCTGTTGGGTGGGGTGAAGTGGGATATATACATGAGGGGGAGAGGAAGTGTTCTGTTGGGTGGGGTGAAGTGGGATATATTCATGATGTGGAGAGGAAGTGTTCCCTTGGGTGGGGTGAAGTGGGATATATACATGATGTGGAGAGGAAGTGTTCTGTTGGGTGGGGTGAAGTGGGATATATTCATGAGGGGGAGAGGAAGTGTTCTGTTGGGTGGGGTGAAGTGGGATATATACATGAGGGGGAGAGGAAGTGTTCTGTTGGGTGGGGTGAAGTGGGATATATACATGAGGGGGAGAGGAAGTGTTCTGTTGGGTGGGGTGAAGTGGGATATATTCATGAGGGGGAGAGGAAGTGTTCTGTTGGGTGGGGTGAAGTGGGATATATTCATGAGGGGGAGAGGAAGTGTTCTGTTGGGTGGGGTGAAGTGGGATATATTCATGAGGGGGAGAGGAAGTGTTCTGTTGGGTGGGGTGAAGTGGGATATATACATGAGGGGGAGAGGAAGTGTTCTGTTGGGTGGGGTGAAGTGGGATATATTCATGAGGGGGAGAGGAAGTGTTCTGTTGGGTGGGGTGAAGTGGGATATATACATGAGGGGGAGAGGAAGTGTTCTGTTGGGTGGGGTGAAGTGGGATATATACATGAGGGGGAGAGGAAGTGTTCTGTTGGGTGGGGTGAAGTGGGATATATTCATGAGGGGGAGAGGAAGTGTTCTGTTGGGTGGGGTGAAGTGGGATATATACATGAGGGGGAGAGGAAGTGTTCTGTTGGGTGGGGTGAAGTAGGATATATACATGAGGGGGAGAGGAAGTGTTCTGTTGGGTGGGGTGAAGTAGGATATATTCATGAGGGGGAGAGGAAGTGTTCTGTTGGGTGGGGTGAAGTGGGATATATACATGAGGGGGAGAGGAAGTGTTCTGTTGGGTGGGGTGAAGTAGGATATATTCATGAGGGGGAGAGGAAGTGTTCTGTTGGGTGGGGTGAAGTGGGATATATTCATGAGGGAGTGAAATGAGTTCTACAGGAGGAAGTAGGGGAGAAGGTGTTCCTTGGGAGGCAACACAAGAATGTTTCATGCCAGTTAGCAATTTTCCAACATTTTCGAGACAGTATATTTTTTATGTGATCAGCTGGGTATCTTTGTAAACTTGAAGTATGTCTGCTTAGGTCATATAACTTGTGATAAACATATGAACTTGGCATTGGAGGATGTTTACCATATCTGTTCCAGTACTGCCCAGAGGGAGAGTTGTTTGACTACATTGTGTCCAAGGACAGGCTGGATGAGGATGAAGCTCGCATCTTCTTCCGACAGATTGTCTCTGCAGTGGCTTACATCCACTATCAAGGCTATGCACACCGGGACCTCAAACCTGTATGTTACTTGTGTCTCATTGGTTACAATCATCCTTGTGACACTTTTGCAATAGTGACCACCTCCGTGGTCTAGTTGTAGAGCATCCACCCAGAAAGTGGAAGGTCAGAGGTTCGATTCACGGCCGTGTCATACCAAAAGATGTTTAAAGGTGGTACTTGTTGTTACCCTGCCTGCTTGGAGTCAGTATACTGTGTCTGAGTGGAGGTTTCATGTTAAACTGTGGCATGGTATCTCAGGGGACTAGAACTATAAAATTATTCAAGACTAGTGGACTGGTACAAGTAGTTTTCCATCTCCTGCCTGCCCTGACCTTTCATTCCGACGTGAAATAATAAAACTGTGAAAAATTGTGCCCCGATGTGATAAAAAGGAAATACTACCATTGCACATTCATAAAAAAAACAGGTCAGCTCAATCTTTCTTCAGATACAATCATAAAAATTTATTCCAACTATCTCTGTCATAAATTAATTTAAAGACTGGTACCAAATGTTTTAAACTTTAAAGTGTCATAAAGTAAGTTACACAATTAGTGAAACAGTCTTTAAACAAAATAAATTCATTTTATTTTTTGACCATCCGCTCTCTTGCCGATTTAGGTTGGAGATGAGAAAAACATAAAATAATATGAATTTCCTAAACTAAACTAATCTTCCAACAGGGCCTATTTCATGTATTAAATGAATGGTCATTTCTTGATTTGTGTTTCTGTCTGTCATGTCTACCTATCAATTAACTATCAATAATCTAGTGTGTTATTACTATCAATTTCCAGTAACGCTGATCATAATTTGAATTGTCATCATGATATTGCCATCGGATCATGGACAATTGAAATGCATCTATAGTCATGATAGTGCTGTTAGTTGCTACACCATACTAATATTGTAGTACCATTTTGTTTACTAGGAAAACTTGCTGCTTGATGAGGATCAAAACCTAAAACTGATTGATTTTGGCCTGTGTGCTAAACCAAAGGTAAGTTGCTGATGCCATATACAGTATTTCCTTTGCATCGAGGGGTAAGATTTTGAAATTTGAGTCATGCATTAATAGGCGGTTGCTGTGGTGGACACACAACTTCTCATGACCCAAGTTATTTTCCATGTAATTTCTTCATATTGGACGTCCAATTTTGTCCTGTTTGCAATGTCGTCACTCATCAAGAGTTTGATGTGCAGTAAATGTATTATTTCCCACTCCCAAAATCATGTTATGCATTTCTTTTTTTTTCTTTTTTAGGAGTATACTTTCAATATCATTCAGGAATAATCTATATTACTGCATACTATACCATACCTGACACCTTAAAACATTATTTACGATGCCTTATAGTTCTGAGATCCGAATCTTATATCTGGTAGCTGGCAATAAACTTGGAAAACATTTTATGAATTGCCTATGCTGTAATAATGGCATCCAAGAAAACTTCAGATGCTTGGGATCTTTGTACAATGAATTGCTGAAGATCCTGGTAAGAGAAACTAGCATTGAACTTGTGGAATTCTTCATCGCAATGAAAAATAGTTGTATTAAGAGATTCGACAGAAAATGGAAGGTATTATCAGCCTACTTATTATGATTTCTCAGTCAATCAATATATGTACATACCCATATCTGAGCATGTTTTAAGATTCTATGAATTGCTACACATATATACCTCATGTACCAATGTTACATTTATGTCTACTGAATTGAAATAAAAATATCTAAAAAAAAACCCCAAAACCCCCAAAAACTTGTGGAATTCAAATTTGACCAGAAGATTCTAAGTCTACTTGACATAGATTTTTATTATATTTTAGGAGTGCTTCACTCCATACTGTCTACTTTCAGTGGTTGAAAATATAACATCATATGGTCTGGGGAATATATTTGTCTGCAGTTGTATGAATCTGATGAAATGTATAAGTACCTTTTTTTAACTGTTCCCAACCAACGCAGGGTGGGATGGAGCGCCACCTGTACACATGTTGTGGGAGCCCCGCGTACGCTGCACCGGAGCTCATATCTGGCAAGGAATACCTTGGGGCTGAGGTAAGGTGAAAGAAAGAATATGAAACCCTTAAGTTATTTTGTCCATTCATTTGCCATGACAAGTTGCATTGGTTGTTAATCTCTGCTTGGTATGTGAATGTTGGTCACTCACCACATAACCTTGCTTTGAACACAATAGATATTTGGTGTTAACATTCATTGAGAAGCTAAAATCAGTCATAAATCACTTTTGTCTTTGATTTCACATTAATTTAATTATGCTTGTAGTTAGTGCATATGTCCTATCGTCGTTCCATTAACAGAACCAGAATGTGTCTCTCCACCCGGTCACGAACTAGAGTTATCTTCCCTCGTGCCTCTCATATTTCCTAACATCACATGGTTTGCGAGCTGGCCATTTGTATCGGGCTCAATATTGGTTCTTCTGGATTACATTTGTGTTGAACGTTTCTTTCATTGGAAGGTTATTACATACATACAATAATGCCTCATTCTGGTGGACATTTTGGGCATACCTCACCTGGCCCAAAGAAAATCTAGAACAATCACATTCAACATACAAGAGACAGAGCCTACTCCATGAATGACTTTACCACTGTCAGGTATGCTTTTACAACTTGCAGACTCTCTTCCCTGGAAGGGTAGGTTAGATAATCAGTGGCTCATAATATACGCTACTGGGTAATTGGCTCACCTTTAAAATGTCTTCACAAGCTAAAGATACCCATAAATTGAGAGCGGGTTCTGGGAGGCTTACTGTGGACAAGAAGGTGCTCATGGCAATAAACAGTGATTTGCGCAGAGGTCTCAAGCTACTCTCTCATGTGAGTTCTTATCTCACAGCAATCATCAAGGTAATGGACTACTTTAAAGTATCAGTTCCAGTATTGTCAGCAGGTCCAACATATTGATGCATGTTTGTGGTTCTCTTTCGGTTTTGATTGGACTGGCCCATTTGGAAGACTCCACGTGACAAAATTATTCGAACAACCCTGTACTCTGTTCTGTGAAGCACGCCTTGGAAGTCTGCACCCAGAAGAAGTGTGTTTCAAAGGTGTTTTGTTGAACGATAACATTCAGATTCTCCTTCAAAAGCAGGCTGTAAAAGAAATCCCATGGTATCAGCTTAAGCCAGGGTTTTACTCCAGGATTTCTCTTTGTACCCTAGAAGATTTCCAACAACATGTGCAAGATTCACAACTTGAAGGTCTTCAGTTAACAGCAATTCAATGTTGAAAATGCTTTTTGATCAGTTCTGATCTCCAGACAACTCCACAGTGAGACACTTCATCAACAAGATGGGATCAACTCACTTGTGTCACCTACTGAACACAATGTTTCAGTGTTATCAGTTTTTTGATAGTGCCGTTGAAGGCCAGAACCCGTCACATTCAAGGCATCACCATCTCGTGGGAAGGTCTTCATGTCAGAATTCTACAGAAACTTCAACTCAGATCATTAGTCTGCTTGTGATCGCACCTTACAGTTGACTTTGGTTCCCAGGACTATTATAGCTCCAGGTCAATTCTGGTTTCTTTGTTGGGAAAGATAACCCATCCATTCAATCACAAAGTAGGCACATCAGTATATTGTTGATTATGGATTGGAGAAAACACGCTTACGAGGTTTTGGTAGACAGAGCATGCCCTGGGGAGAGGGAAAAACCAAGGGGGCAAAGCCCCCGCGGTTTTTCCCAACCCTCAGGGCATACTCTGTCTACCAAAACCGAGGCAAAGAGTTTTTCCATACTTATAAACCGTCTAAATTGATTAAATGTTATAACGAGCATCTATAAATGAGGCGCTTCATTATAGCGCTTCCTTGAAGACGTTATATCATAACTTGCACATGAAATTCGCTGACTTGCCAGGCGTTCAAGAGCCCTTGGATGTGTCAACAACAAAACACAACTAAAATACTTACTTTTAAATGAAAGTGAAATCTTCGGTTTCTAAATGTTTGTGTTGCAATATTCCACTTCTTTTAAACTTTTCAAAACGAAAACTCGCAATTTTAAAGGTGTTTTTTGCTTTACAAGATTTTCAACTTTAAACAATCCAACTGTTACATAGAGGTAGTTGTAACGTAACGGCTAGCAGTTACTGCACGTGCAAATTGTGCAGCATTGATAAGCACTTGTTTAAAAGCACGTGTTTTGAAACCTTGCTGTCCTTTCACCAGAGACTCTGATGTGGAAAGATGAGCGACGACGACGACGACGACGACTTTCATTTTGTTACGCAGTCTTCATTCAATGAAGAAAGCGATGACTTTTCTTATCGATTTGGAATGGATGAAATTTGAAAGTTAGTCATTAGCGTCCATAATAGGTTTTACTTTCAAAGTAAAACCTCTTAATAGGTTTTACTTTCAAAGTAAAACCTCACAATAGGTTTTAATGCCTATAGAAAGAACTCTCTTACTTAATAGAGATCCCAATGAATAGGTTTATAATTATTGTACACTCAGCTCTAAGCAATGCTTCTGTATTAAGCCCACAGATCGTCTTTATAATCCCCCCACTGGGTGTTACCAGGTATTTCGATTATGTGGCAATAAATATTCTAAGTGATTGTTGGGTTCTAGTTTATATGCTTCAACTTGAAGTTGTGTTCCTCCAGGGCTCGTCGTATAGTAATCTGTACTGGTCCTCAACTACAAAGCCTTGGATGTAAGAGTAAGGAAGCTACAGGTTATAGGATTAGTCAAGTTGCAATCAGGATAAGAAATAATTTCAATAAATTAGAATATTTATGATATTGGTATAATTATCCTGATGCACCACCTCTCAGGCCCACCTGACCTTTATCTGTCTGAAGTTTCCTGTAGTTTTCGATGTGATGAAAAGTGATGCACCACCTCTCAGGCCCACCTGACCTTTATCTGTCTGAAGTTTCCTGTAGTTTTCGATGTGATGAAAAGTGATGCACCACCTCTCAGGCCCACCTGACCTTTATCTGTCTGAAGTTTCCTGTAGTTTTCGATGTGATGAAAAGTGATGCACCACCTCTCAGGCCCACCTGATCTTTATCTGTCTGAAGTTTCCTGTAGTTTTCGATGTGATGAAAAGTGATGCACCACCTCTCAGGCCCACCTGACCTTTATCTGTCTGAAGCTTCCTGTAGTTTTCGATGTGATGAAAAGTGATGCACCACCTCTCAGGCCCACCTGACCTTTATCTGTCTGAAGCTTCCTGTAGTTTTCGATGTGATGAAAAGTGGGCTAAGGGAGGTAACTATAGTGGGTGACCTTGTGGAGAGTTCCCCCTAGTGGAGAGACACATTTTAGTTTGGGTTTAAAGGATTGAAGATAGGACATTTGCACTGTTGTGTCAGGTTAAGTATACCAATATCATATATATACTAGGTTATTGTGGGGATTCCAGATTGGTAGTGGTGCCCAGCAACATGTGTTTGTCATATGAAGCGAGACCCGTGAAGATCCGGTTTTAAATATGTCTTCAGCAACCCATGCTTGTCATAAGAGACGACTAAAGTGATCGGATGGTCAGGCTCGCTGACTTGCTTGCTGCATGTCACCATATTCATGCTCATGCTGTCAATCAATGGATTGTCTAATCAAGACTCGATTATTTACAAATCGCAGTCAAATAGCTTGAATATTGCAGAGTGCAGCGTTAAACAACAAAAAAACAAAAACAAACAAAGATGAATTGACTTAATGTGGGCAGGCTCTGTAATTGAGCATCTGATTGTACACGACAGTGTGAAGTGTTGCTCATTTTCTCAATCATGAGCTTGTCTGGTCCAGACTCAATGTCATATAGTTTGAATATACTGAGTGCTGGGTTAAACAACAACCATACCAAGGTATCATCCACTGCAAGATAAGTTTTAGTGTTTGAAGACTGACATGACTTTGAAGAGTGTGAATGTACCCTCCAGGCGGACCTGTGGAGTATGGGTGTGCTTCTGTACGCACTGCTGTGTGGCTTCCTGCCCTTCGATGATGACAAGATACCTACATTGTACAGAAAAATACAGGTAGTACATCATTCCCACTTGGTTTGCAGAAACTTAAAATATGCTTGAATTTCACCCTGTTAAAAATAATTGCTTCATTTACCACTCTGGGAGAAAAATGCTAGGAAATATTGGGATTGTATTAAACCTTGAAAGTGCTATAATTAATGTGAAACAAATTTTCCTTCAAAATATTTACCGAAAATAACTATTGACCTAATTTCTCTGTTGCTCACTTGATTCACCAATGTTACAACTTACTCCTGTGCATTTCGCAGAGAAAGAGGCCAAATCACGTAATGTGATAGCCAAGTCTTGTCTCCCCAACAGCATAACTCTGACGTGCTGACATCCAGTGCCTATCTCAGCCCATTACAGTAGGAGTGTATTCTGACCTGATGACCACACCAGCTGGCCACATCAGGTTCACTGCATGTGACTTGTGTGAGCAGCTCTCCAAGGTTGACAGTTAAAGTTGTAGGAAATATATAGCATCATGCAGAGGTCAACGGTAATTTAATTATATAATGCAAACATTCATAATCTATTATTGCTGCAACAATTAATTTAAGCATGTAATCTAACAACAACTCAAGTTTCACTTTACATGTATATATTCCCATACCTAACGTAGTATGGAGGATAATATCAAGAGGTCAATAACGTAAACAATATTTCAATAAGAAACAGAGCTGGAAGCTCAATCAAAACAGGAACCTAAACACAAGTGTATAAACTTAGAACTTCTTCTCAGAAGGACTCTTTTATGCTGATCCTCATGAGCTGACAAACTACTTAATAAACCAGTAACTGCAAATGAAATTCTCACTTGTATAAAATAGGTTCAAAGAAAGCAAAAATCATGGAGAAGAAAATATACACGCGCACACACACTTACTCACACACGCCAACACACATATATATTTACAGACAGTTATATACTAATAACTTTATATACTGATATTTCTTAGTGAATACTGATTTCCATAACAAGTTCCTCCTCGGTTAAAAAAGGTTAGGGTTTGTTTAGATTTAATTATGTCATAAATTCTGCAACAGGGGCGGGGGATATAGCCACGTTAGTGGCAAGCTCTTCTTATGTCAGCTGCTTTATTATGAGGAACACTATTGATGATGAAAAACACTACTCACTTCACTGTATGAAACTATCTATCTATCTATCTATCTATCTATAAAAAAAGTGTTTATTTATCAATGATAGTTACTGTGATAAAACATTTCATCTTGGTAGAAGTACTCCTTGCATTGAAGCAATCTAAGAGGTAAATTAGGTCGTTGTTCATTGCAGGCTGGTCAGTATAATGATAAAATAGGTCAGAGTATCAGGAAGGTCTATCATATCAATATCATTTAGCTAAACGTGGATGTTGATGCTGGGGCATTGCAAGTAAACACTTTGTTTAAATAAAGTGTTGGATATGTATGGGTGAATCAAGATTTTGAAGGTGTTAAATCATTTTAAAACATGTTAAGGGTGCATGGAGACTGACAGTCAGATCAATGAATCCATTGATGTATCATTCAGTACAGACTTGGAGCAAGGGTAATCAGCATCATGAAGCTAGAGTTCAGCTCTTTGTTTATAGTAAGGTGAGACTTGTGGACAGTGGACATTAGCATGTGTGCTGACCATGGGCTGGTGACTGCTGATGAGCTGTTGACAGTTTTATTACTAAACAAGATCCGTTTGGACAGCAGCGTTCCTTGTGAAATGCACAGGAGTAAACTGGGTTTCTCTCCAGCATAGTTAAGTCATATTGTGCATACTAGGGCTGGGACAGTTAACTCGGGTACTCAGGTCAGGGGCTGAGTAGGCCCTGGATACCCACAGGACTACCCGTACCCGTGGTTAATCATGTGATATATTGTTTAATGGCAAAAATTATCTAGAACTTCAACAGTTACACTATAAGTGACTAATGTTCGAATTTCTTTCTGACTATGCACCCATTCCTTCTGGCTTTATATGTTTGAATAGAGATAAAACTTAGTCACCTTCCATGTATGCATGACCAGATCGTTTTCTATGAGTATCTAAATACATTTTGCCAGGGCTACGGTCAAATTACATTGTATTCCCAACCGGACATTTGTACCTATCTCTTGAGACCTACAGCGTGTACCCGGATAGGGTCGGGTAATAGTAGGGTGGGTACCGGGTAGTAAATTTGGACTCGTCCGAGCCCTAGTGCATACCATCATTTAGTTTGATATTGGAAGCAGAACGAGAAATTCCAGTGATGACCAATAACCAAAGAAGCCCTTGTCCTTAGCTGATAAATTTGTTTTCAATAGGTTAATGAGAAATGCATGTTAAACTGAGCACATTGCCAATGTGTCGCAATAAATAAGCTACTGTAACTCTTTGTACAGAAAAAAAGTTTGCTTATGGAACTAACTTGAAGCTCTAAATCTGTTGAATTAATTCCGTTGGTTGTTCTGTATTTGGTTGAATGAGAAAAAAGTTTTCTCCTTGAAAAGTGATAAACCTTTCTGTGTTTGGACCCCCCAAATGAGTTTGACACCTGTTCTCACTATTGTCTTCATACTCATGACAGTAATAAACAGAATCGAGTGTAAAATCTTAACCTTTACATATTTTGTACAGAAGAAAAGGTATTTCTCATGGGTCTGTCATCCAATGAACAAGTCATGGGTTCTGTCAAACTACCAGTATCAGAAACGCTATCAAGTGATATTTGCATGTTATTTCTGCTCCCCTGAACTTTAACACATCCAAACTAGCTACATCAGATGTTCATGAGATGTGCCATGTGTCACTGCAAACAGAGCGGCAAATATGACGTGCCTGACTGGCTGTCCTTGGACTCTGCGGACCTCATCAGCCAGATGCTGCGCGTGGACCCGAAGCGGCGCATCACCGTGCAGCAGCTCCTTCACCACCCCTGGATGACCAAGGGCTTCAACATCCCCGTAGAGTGGAACACCAAGTACAAGGTAGGCTTCAACATCTGTAGAACATCCAGTATAAAGTAGGCTTCAACATCTGTAGAACACCCAGTATAAGGTAGGCTTCAACATCTGTAGAACACCCAGTATAAGGTAGGCTTTAACATCTGTAGAACACCCAGTATAAGGTAGGCTTCAACATCTGTAGAACACCCAGTACAAGGTAGGCTTCAACATCTGTAGAACACCCAGTATAAGGTAGGCTTCAACATCTGTAGAACACCCAGTATAAGGTAGGCTTCAACATCTGTAGAACACCCAGTATAAGATAGGCTTCAACATCTGTAGAGCACCCAGTATAAGGTAGGCTTCAACATCTGTAGAACACCCAGTATAAGGTAGGCTTTAACATCTGTAGAACACCCAGTATAAGGTAGGCTTTAACATCTGTAGAACACCCAGTACAAGGTAGGCTTCAACATCTGTAGAACACCCAGTATAAGGTAGGCTTCAACATCTGTAGAACACCCAGTACAAGGTAGGCTTCAACATCTGTAGAACACCCAGTATAAGGTAGGCTTCAACATCTGTAGAACACCCAGTACAAGGTAGGCTTCAACATCTGTAGAACACCCAGTATAAGGTAGGCTTCAACATCTGTAGAACACCCAGTATAAGATAGGCTTCAACATCTGTAGAACACCCAGTATAAGGTAGGCTTCAACATCTGTAGAACACCCAGTACAAGGCAGGCTTCAACATCTGTAGAACACCCAGTATAAGGTAGGCTTCAACATCTGTAGAACACCCAGTATAAGGTAGGCTTCAACATCTGTAGAACACCCAGTACAAGGTAGGCTTCAACATCTGTAGAACACCCAGTACAAGGCAGGCTTCAACATCTGTAGAACACCCAGTATAAGGTAGCCTTCAACATCTGTAGCACACCCAGTACAAGGTAGGCTTCAACATCTGTAGAACACCCAGTACAAGGTAGGCTTCAACATCTGTAGAACACCTAGTATAACGTAGGCTTCAACATCTGTAGCACACCCAGTACAAGGTAGGCTTCAACATCTGTAGAACACCCAGTACAAGGTAGGCTTCAACATCTGTAGAACACCCAGTACAAAGCAGGCTTCTACATCTGTAGAACACCCAGTACAAGGTAGGCTTCAACATCTGTAGAACACCCAGTACAAGGCAGGCTTCAACATCTGTCGAACAGGGCCAGGGGTGAGGAAGGTTAGCCTTCAGTTTACTTCACCAAAGTTTACTAAACTTGTTCTCTGTTTGGAACTGCATTCCTTAAAAATAGGCATGATTATTGATTGCTGTTAATTCTCAGCATCCAATAATATCCAAAATATATTGAATACTCTTGCCTGTCTTTGTATTGCATTTTAAGAAAATGTCTCTGTGAAATGTGATAATTAGAGCATATCTATCATTGCGAAATATTTTTAATTCATCAGCGGACATTGGACGATGACTGTATAACAGAACTAGCTGTGCACTATGGGAAATGTAAGATGGAGATGGAGACACAGGTGTTACAGGTAAGTCCTCCCTACACCCACCCACTGCCACATACAGTGTACCCCCTACACCCACTGCCACATACAGTGTCCTCCCTACACCCACCCACTGCCACATACAGTGTCCTCCCCACACCCACCCACTGCCACATACAGTGTCCTCCCTACACCCACTGCTACATACAGTGTCCTCCCTACACCCACCCACTGCCACATACAGTGTACCCCCTACACCCACTGCTACACACAGTGTCCCCCCTACACCCACTGCCACTTACAGTGTCCTCCCTACACCCACTGCCACATACAGTGTCCTCCCTACACCTACCCACTGCCACATACAGTGTCCTCCCTACACCGACTGCCACATACAGTGTCCTCCCTACACCGACTGCCACATACAGTGTCCTCCCTACACCCACCCACTGCCACATACAGTGTCCTCCCTACACCCACCCACTGCCACATACAGTGTCCTCCCTACACCCACCCACTGCCACATACAGTGTCCTCCCTACACCGACTGCCACATACATTGTCCCCCCTACACCCCATGCCACATACAGTGTCCTCCCTACACCCACTGCCACATACAGTGTCCTCCCTGCACCCACTGCCACATACAGTGTCCTCCCTACACCCACTGCCACATACAGTGTCCTCCCTACACCCACTGCCACATACAGTGTCCTCCCTACACCGACTGCCACATACAGTGTCCTCCCTACACCGACTGCCACATACAGTGTCCTCTCTACACCCACCCACTGCCACATACAGTGTCCTCCCTACACCCACTGCCACATACAGTGTCCTCCCTACACCCACCCACTGCCACATACAGTGTCCTCCCTACACCCACTGCCACATACAGTGTCCTCCCTACACCCACTGCCACATACAGTGTCCTCCCTTCACCCACTGCTACATACAGTGTCCTCCCTACACCCACTGCCACATACAGTGTCCTCCCTACACCCACCCACTGTCACATACAGTGTCCTCCCTACACCCACCCACTGCCACAAACAGTGTCCTCCCTACACCCACCCACTGCCACAAACAGTGTCCTCCCTACACCCACTGCCACATACAGTGTCCTCCCTACACCCACTGCCACATACAGTGTCCTCCCTACACCCACTGCCACATACAGTGTCCTCCCTACACCCCCTGGCACATACAATGGCCTCCTACACCCACCCACTGCCACATACAGTGTCCTCCCTACACCCACTGCCACATACAGTGTCCTCCCTACACCCACTGCCACATACAGTGTCCTCCCTACACCCACTGCCACATACAGTGTCCTCCCTACACCCACCCACTGCCACATACAGTGTCCTCCCTACACCGACTGCCACATACAGTGTCCTCCCTACACCCACTGCCACATACAGTGTCCTCCCTGCACCCACCCACTGCCACATACAGTGTTCTCCCTACACCCACTGCCACATACAGTGTCCTCCCTACACCGACAGCCACATACAGTGTCCTCCCTACACCCACTGCCACATACAGTGTCCTCCCTACACCGACAGCCACATACAGTGTTCTCCCTACACCCACTGCCACATACAGTGTCCTCCCTACACCCACTGCCAAATACAGTGTCCTCCCTACACCGACTGCCACATACAGTGTCCTCCCTACACCCACCCACTGCCACATACAGTGTCCTCCCTACACCCACTGCCACATACAGTGTCCTCCCTACACCCACCCACTGCCACATACAGTGTCTTCCCTACACCCACTGCTACATACAGTGTCCTCCCTACACCCACCCACTGTCACATACAGTGTCCTCCCTACACCGACTGCCACATACAGTGTCCTCCCTACACCCACAGCCACATACAGTGTCCTCCCTACACCCCATGCCACATACAGTGTCCTCCCTACACCCACCCACTGCCACATACAGTGTCCTCCCTACACCCACTGCCACATACAGTGTCCTCTCTACACCCCATGCCACATACAGTGTCCTCCCTACACCCACCCACTGCCACATACAGTGTCCTCCCTACACCCACTGCCACATACAGTGTCCTCCCTACACCGACTGCCACATACAGTGTCCTCCCTACACCCACCCACTGCCACATAGAGTGTCCTCCCTACACCCACTGCCACATACAGTGTCCTCCCTACACCGACTGCCACATACAGTGTCCTCCCTACACCCCATGCCACATACAGTGTCCCCCCTTCACCCACCCACTGCCACATACAGTGTCCTCCCTACACCCCCTGCCACATACAGTGTCCTCCCTACACCCACTGCCACATACAGTGTCTTCTATAAGTTTCATTATGTGACAGCACCATTCAGTTCCTTTTTGCATTGGTTGGTAGTGATAATGAGTGTGATGCTACTGGTGGCTCTCCCCTATAGTATTTCCTCCATCTGTGTGTTTTGTCCCCCAGTGGAAGTACGACTACTTGACGGCCACCTACTTCCTGTTGCTGGAGAAGAAGATGCGTGGCCGCCCTGTCCGCCTCCTCCAGAAGCCCACCATCTCCTCCACCACACCTGCCCCCAAGAAGGTAGCCCCACATACAGTGTATAACAGTGCTACAACGGTTCAGTAAAAACTACTGTACCCATGAAGATTCGGGGTAGAATAGGTCTTCAGCAACCCTTGCTTGCTGTAAAAGGCGACTATGCTTGTCGTAAGAAGTGACTAACGTGACATTGTGGTCAGGCTTGCTGACTTGGTTGATGCATGTCATCGTATCTCAGATGTGTGCTCATGATATCAATCACTAGATTGTCTGGTCCAGACCTGATTATTTAAAGATCTCCATATAGCTGGAATATTGCTGAGTGCAGCATTAAACAACAAAGAACAACTAAAACAGCAACAACTAGTACTCCTGTGATTTTTATGCATAACAAGTAGTAGCTTCTGGGAGATATAGAAAATGTTGAAGGTCAGAGGAATGATCATTATAAAGTACATAATCTAACTGAAGGTGATGGAAATTTGGATAATTTTTTATTTTCTTATCTGTTGCGATTTATGTGATTTACGTTTTTGATAACTCTGGATATGTTTGTAATCCATTATGTTACTTTCCTCTAAAATTTTGATTCAATTTTGTGTAGATTAATTTCCTTGCCTTGAAACTGACATTAGTCGATATAGATACAAAGTCTTCTGTCTTTCTATTAATTTCAGTTATTTCAGTTATGATAATGGTCATTAGATTAAATATTTTTTAAACTAAATCAAACATAGATCGGGGAGAAAATGTGTGAACAGCTGATTGCTATTTCTGGCTTACTTTATGAGACAAAATACACATGTAATCATAATCTCTGTGTATGAAACATTGTCTGGCATACAGTTCACAGTGTCCTTGAATTTGGTAATGTTTCATCATAAATTTCATGTTTTCATTAACCAAATTTGCAAACGGCAAAACAAGCATACAAACTCCTATTGCTGCCATGACCATAATGATATGTGCAGTTCAGCAGTGAGCAGGTGAAGGGAAGTAACTGCACACTATATTGGATGGTGTCTTTTTTAAGTATTGTAGCATTTTCACTGCGGGGGTCGTGTGTTCGAGATGCAGAATATTAAAGGATTTGTTTTATTTTTTGAAAATGGAAATAAAAATGAAACATGCAGCAGACTTTGTGATGATGCTGTGGTGCCTGAGAACCCAAGACTTTTTTTTTTAGCCTCTTGAGATGTTAAAACATGCATTTGTCATGATTGTCATGTGAGCATGTGACTTATAATGTCATGATACATCTTTTCAGGGTAAGTTTTTAACTTGTGCGACTTTAAATTAAGTTTGAGGCAATGAGAATTTAACACATATGGGTCAAAGCAGTGATGACTATAAGCCATGACTGGACTTTAAGTTTGACTCTATGAGGGATTTGACATATCCCAGTTCCAGACACTGGGTTCCACGATGATGTATAGAGATCATATGTATATCCTCCTTGTTGCAGGCATACACATACAGCTCTGAGGATGAGAGTGATGTCAACCACTCTCCATTCATCATCACCCCGAAGGAGAAGACAGAAGAAAGCAGACAAAATGCATACAACTGTCAACAACACGCCAAAGAAAGAGTCAAAGGGCGAGCCCGAGAGAGGCTTCCGTTTTCAGACAGTGGTGATAAAGAAGACAAGGAAAACTTCCTCATCCCACAAATTCCAAACTCTCCTCGTGTCAAACATCAGAAGACCCCAACTGCAAATGCTGTGTTAAAGAATGTTGCAGCCAAGCCACGATCTCCCCTCATGTCCAAACAGTTGCACATAGCATCCCTGGATGACAGCAGTAAGTCACCCCTAGCAGGCTCCAAGGAGCCACTGATTATGACAGCACCTAAATCAGCTCCACACAATCAGAAGAAACATCAGTATGACTGTGCTGCTCTGTTTAAAGGTACAAATGTATTTATCAATTGGTGGTCATCCGTGGTGCATTCTGTCACTTTGTAGTGAGCATGTCCCACTCCCTCACTGCTTATAACCTACACAACAACAATGGTGGCCTGCTTGTATGCACTTTTGTTATACATAAACGTAACAAACCAATCAAAACATTCATATCTAAAAGCTTATGCAAAATGCTTTAATATACCAGTTTTTCATCAAAGCATCTTGTGAAGCAGAAACAATCTCATCTGGCCGGTGTAAATATTACTGTGTCGGACGGATGATAAGTAGACTTTGTGAGGATTTCTTCAAGTAAAGAATCTTCTGCTTTAATAATCATTGTGCATATTTTAATTATTTTTATACTTATCCTGCATTACTCCTTAATACACTTACTGCTTGTACTTGACAGAGAAAGAGCTGTGCGAGGTCATGCTGAAGAAGAAGTTGTTCCAACTGGTTGAGTGGCTAACCCTATCACACAGCTCCCGTGTGACATGGAAGGGGTGACGTCACTGATCAGCACATTACTCTTGTCACCCATATAGTGGACACCTGTTTGAGTCAGCTCTAATCCACTTGGATCCTTTGCATGTCTTGCGACACTATTATTCCTTGTGATCGTACCCTTGCTGATATTTTTGTTATTAAAGTGCTGGTGTTTCGCTTGCTCCTTTATCCAGACACAGTGGGAGCAAGTCATCCCGTTCCACAGACGCTGTTCCTGGAGCCGCTCTCCAGTCCAGCGCCATAGAGATTACTACTCCGACTCAGCCTATGACTGTTCCCTCTCAGATGTCGACTCCCACCTAGGCCTCAGCCAGCTTCTCAGATCACCTGTTGTAGCTCCATCACCAGACCCAGACATGGATAAAAAGGACACAGCGATTGATCAACCACATGAGAGCTAGCTCACATGCGTGCAGCGTTTGTGGAGATCACCAACACCCGTTGACTCAGTTACCTGGCGTTCACTGAGTGGGACTCGGAGTGTTCAAGAGGGATATACTACGTCAACCCTGGTCTTCCACCTGCCTCTTCAACGGCCAAGTCGACCCCAATTCTTGTCTGAATTTCTTCTGTTCCTGCGCCACATGCGTCATCTGAAGGGCAGCACCATCACAACCTATCTGTCTTGGCAGTTCTGGAAAATCAAAAGATGACAAAGAATCCGGAAATCCAAGCACTTTTATGCCACTTTTGTCTGGAAAGCCAAGTTAAGACAGTCTTCCTCTTGACTCTGGCAACAGCGGCACGAGTGAGCAAACTACACGCTCTCGACATCACCCGTCTGAGATTTGAGCGCAGAGTGCATGGAGCTGTTCATCTTGGGCTGTGCTGAGACTTAGCCATAGCCAAGAATCATCTCCCTGGACACCAAGATAGATCCTTCATCATCCCACCCCTATCTTCGATAGTGGGGGTGGAAGATGAACAGGAACTTCTATGTTCCGTGTGTGCTCTGCAATGCTTCTTTTGACGATCCAAGAACTGTCAAGGACAACGTCACAGCTACCCGAATGAAGAATCACGTCGCAGGTAGAAGTCAGCAGCAACGTGAACGCCTTGTCGCTTTGCTCTATCACGGAACTGGATTCTCCAAGAACCCAAATGAGATCCAGGCGGTCTCCTCTACCATGGCCCTTTACAGTAATTGCTCCATGGAACGCTGCTTATGGTGCTTGGACACAGTCTTCACCAGCCACTACCTGCGAGATGTCGACTTAGAAGATGTGGAAGGTGTCCACAGTTTCGGCCCTTTGGTGGTTGCCCAGCAGGTCACCGCCCCATGACGCCACTAATGCTTGAACATGTGTGGAGCAGACCTTTTGCCCTCTCTCTGGTGCGTGTCACCCCAGACTAGAAGGTTACATACTGCATGCTTTGGCTCTGTATGACACTTTCTAGACTTTAAAAGCTGTTTAGTTTCTATTACTGCAATGATACCTGGACATCACAAACACCTGACTCTCCCCTTCCCGCTGACAGGAATTGTCACTCGATACCGGACATCACTGTTGCTGCTTGGTTGGAGTCAATGGAGAGTTTATCAGTATCACATCTGAAAGTATGCCCTCCTCCGTCCGTGAAGTTGCATTAAGGAGTATGCGGGATAAGTTTTAAAAATCTACTAAAACCCTAGATATTTTTTATATTTGTATACTTATCCTGCATTACTTCGTCTAAAGTGGCCCAACCATCGCAGAGCTGCCTTCCCACGATGTCTTCAGATGCTCTGTTTTTAGCAGTAATGTGCTGATCAGTGATGTCCCCACCTCCATGGTCACAAGGGAGCTGTGTGATAGGGTTAGCCACTCAGCTAGTTTAAACAACTTCTTCTTCAGCAAGACCTCACACAGCTTTCTCTGTCGAGAACAAGCAGTAAATGCATTAAGGAGTAATGCGGGATAAGTATACAAATATAAAAAAAAATTTCTAGGATTTTACTAGTACTGTATTCCAAGATTAACAAACTCCTGTGAAACTCCTATTTTTGCCACTCCTAGTGTTGCAAAGCTGCTGCACCTACAGTGACTGCCAATTGATGCATGTACCGTATTTTCTTGAGTATAGTGCGCACCCATGTATAATGCGCACCCCCCTCTAGCCGATTCAATATTTTTTGGGGAAAAAAATTAAATACCAAGCGCAGAAAAAGAATTACATCGGACCCCTTTAGCAAAGTCCGGCAAACGAACAGGTGATGAGAAACTTGGTCAGTACAAATTCGAAATTTTGACAAAAAATCACCAGACATGTTGATTTACCGTTTAAGTTGTATTTTTTTGTTCTGCTAGGCATTGTTTTATTTCCAGGGATTAAGATTACCTTGTGTATTTTCTCGCCGGACACAGCAATCAGCTGTACACACGTTTTCTTGGAATCTACCGGTGATTCGGTCAAGACACACCCAATGATATAACTTTACAGGATTTTAATGCAAGAATCGGCAAAAATTGTATCTGAAACTATTTTTTTATCAGGAATAATATATTCTAATATCTTGTTAATTTAGATGCAGCTTTTACTAAATATATTTAAAATAATAATAACTCTAAGCCAAGCAGCTGATTGCTATTGCCGGGTATTATTTTTTACATGGAACCAGTCTGACAAGTCACCGACAAGGCTCCCATGCACGTGATTGCGCGATCGCGAGAATTATGTGTTGACATAGAATCGTCCAACAAAAACAAAAATGACTTTTAAAGAATCACAGTATGGCATTTATGATATATGTATCCATTCTCTGTCAACTAAAGTTTGTTTCAAGGCTTCAATAGCGGTAATCTGACCGTGGTTGCTGTTAATAACGGTGAGTTGTGGGATCTTCCGATCGCTTCACACGATTTCACCAAAATTAATTAAAACAATATTAAAAGGAATTTTGAATAAAATTAATAAAATAAGTTACAAACATAAGTCCAGATATACAAAGAACACTTTTTATAGCCAGACAGTGTAATTACATGACTAATTTGCGTACTTCAGTATGGATTTGTTGACATGGTATTTCCGGTGTTAAGTGCTCGCGGTAATGTCTTTCCATGGGGGAAAAAACATCAAAACTCATTAATTCGTGTATAATGCACACCCCCTTCTACACAGCTGTGTTTTTTGAAAAAAAGTGTGCACTATACTCAAGAAAATACGGTACATCACATATAGAGCTGCATGTTGTCATGTATCAGTAGACAGCTATTAAGCTTTAGTTACCTTGCTTTCATTGGATTTGTCACACTTTCATGTTCCTTGTTTAACTAATAACTTACTAAATATTGGAAACCCCTTTGCTAGTCTGCTGTCTGCAATGCAACTTCTCTGCCCTAGTCGCATATCTGAAAATATTTTGTTTGTTTTTTCAGTTTTGTTTATAGACCAGATTAGATGTGATATCAAGGTGATGGGGGCCTGTTAAATGATACATGTTTTGTTTTAACATTAATGTTCAAACTGTTTCGTTTCAAACAGCAATCTTCATGATATAGTGCTAGAAATACAGTCACAATGATGAGTTAACATTAAGTATCTAATTATGTTTTGAATGATCTCTTTCTTTAAATCTGTTCTTTGAATAAATCTTTATTAAATTTCACATTTTATTAAGTGTGCCAGTCACTTCGTTCAGGCAGGCATTATTTTCACCCCTGTGCTGTACCAGGTTCCAGGTAAGGAAGGGCTGATCTCGCCTTGCCTGATTCCAGCCCTTCTGTTAGGTCTCTGTTGTTGATGCAGCTGTCTACTTTCAGTGTGTACACCACTCAAGCCTATTGACAACTCCTACATGAACACAACACTATCCCCATCCCGGTCCTATGACTCCCAGCTGAACAACATAACGGTGGACACCGGAATACACACTCCCATCAGTGCATCCAAGAAGTGAGTGCAGCAAGGCCGCCTCAACTCACCTGTAGTTCTCAGTAATTCAACAACAAAGTTTATAAGGTTCTCTTAGCAACCAACTGTGCAGTGCAAATTATTTTATTGCTTAAAAATTCAGTGTAAAGTTTTAAGTACATTTCTTGATGTCATAGGGGAGACAACTGTTGTGAGACAGGCCCCATGTGTATGCCCAGTATGTGTGATGTATGGACCTCCCTCTATTCCCCCAGAGCGGCATCAGTGGATGAGGGCCTATATAAGGCTGGCATGTCTACCCCCAGTAGTGCACACAAGTCCAAAAAGTCCATGTTCGGCAGTCTGGAGAAGGTCTTCAACATGCTCACACCAAAGAAACAACGGGGCAGTACTGCAGATGGGCCCAGGAAAGTGAAGGTATTGTATCTAGTTTGTATTTCCTCATAAAATAAAGAATGATTTTGTATTGTTTTCACACTAAGGAATTTGATATCGGTTCTGTTAAGAAAAACTTTGAAAGGTAATTGCACAATTGAATACACAAGCAGATTTTCTGACCCTGAAATGGAATTCATCCAATCTGGCCCAAGCATTATGTCTAACCGTCTTACCTAGATACAAAATTTTAAAAAGTGCCCAGTATCTGTGTTGTATATGACTTTATATTTATGATAAGCTGCAGAGAACAAGATCATCTAACGGCTGTTTCCCTGTCTTATCATTCTATGGAATTGTTGCAGGCACTCCACAACGTGTTCCGAACATGTCAGTTCAATCCTGACTATGTGCTGAAGAGACTGAGAGCCATCATAGAGGAGAAGTGCATCCCCTACAAGCAGAGCGAGTCAGTCCCCACGTTATTCTGTAGAATCTAGCCTCATGAATGTACTGCCTGCTGCACAGGTCTTAAGACGGAACATATTCTGTATGAGTGATGCTGGGAGTCCCACGCAGTAATAGTACTAATAGACAACTAGGTTTAACAATAGAAATCTCTAGTGGGTAGTATCTGCCTGGAGAGTGGAAGGTCAGTGGTATGATCCCCAGGACATGTCATACCAAAGCAGATTAAAAGATGGTGCTTGTTGTTACCCTGTCTGGTGTTTCGCATTTAGTGGATAAATCAAGGACTGGTCAGTATGTAGTCAGCATAATGTGTCCATGTTAAACTGTGGCATGGTATCTCAGTGGGTCAGTTCAATAAAACTGGTATTAGTCGAGGCTAGTACAAGCAACCAAACACATACATGTATGTCGCTATATAACTGCAATAATCTTGAACAGGACATTAAACCCCATTTCACCTCACCTCACAATATAGACCACACAGCACATGTGCAGAAGCAGGACTTCATATTGTGGGTATCACATAGATTGTCACTACACCCATGTATCATGGCTGGTGTCAGTACATGCTGGTTATTGTAGTGCCATGCTGGCAGCACAATGCAGAGGAATATTAATGAGTCCTTGCACCTCTAGTTGGGATGGGCTGCGTTTGGGGTTTGTGGCAGCTAGCCTTGGTTTATGTAGTAGTTATTCTTTAGTAGTTATGTCAATGTTTGCAGCCTGTACAATGTGTTTGGTGTCTGTATTGCAGCTACGCACTGCGGTGTACTGTGATGGATGACTGGGGTCGAGTGAGACTAGCCTTTGACATGGAGGTGTGTGCCATGCCCAAGTCACCATACATCGGAGTGTGTCGCAAGCGAGTCAAGGGTGATGTCTGGCATTACAAGAAGCTCTGTGAAGATATTCTTACATCTGCTAAGCTGTGATAAGGTAACAGAACTGAAGATATTCTTACATCTGCTAAGCTGTGATAAGGTAACAGAACTGAAGATAGTCTTACATCTAATAGCTGTGATAAGGTAACAGAACTGAAGATATTCTTACATCTGCTAAGCTGTGATAAAGTAACAGAACCAAAGATAGTCTTACATCTAATAGCTGTTATAAGGTAACAGAACTGAAGATATTCTTACATCTGTAAGCTGTTATAAGGTCACAGAACCGAAGATATTCTTACATCTAATAGCTGTGATAAGGTAACAGAACTGAAGATATTCTTACATCTGTAAGCTGTTATAAGGTAACAGAACCGAAGATATTCTTACATCTAATAGCTGTTATAAGGTAACAGAACTGAAGATATTCTTACATCTGTAAGCTGTGATAAGGTCACAGAACCGAAGATATTCTTACATCTAATAGCTGTGATATGGTAACAGAACTGAAGATATTCTTACATCTGTAAGCTGTTATAAGGTAACAGAACCGAAGATATTCTTACATCTAATAGCTGTGATAAGGTAACAGAACTGAAGATATTCTTACATCTGTAAGCTGTTATAAGGTCACAGAACCGAAGATATTCTTACATCTAATAGCTGTGATAAGGTAACAGAACTGAAGATATTCTTACATCTAATAGCTGTGATAAGGTAACAGAACTGAAGATATTCTTACATCTGTAAGCTGTTAAAAGGTAACAGAACCGAAGATATTCTTACATCTAATAGCTGTGATAAGGTAACAGAACTGAAGATATTCTTACATCTAATAGCTGTGATAAGGTCACAGAACTGAAGATATTCTTACATCTAATAGCTGTGATAAGGTAACAGAACTGAAGATATTCTTACATCTGTAAACTGTGATAAGGTAACAGAACTGAAGATATTCTTACATCTAATAGCTGTGATAAGGTAACAGAACTGAAGATATTCTTACATCTAATAGCTGTGATAAGGTCACAGAACCGAAGATATTCTTACATCTTATAGCTGTTATAAGGTAACAGAACTGAAGATATTCTTACATCTGCTAAGCTGTGATAAAGTAACAGAACCAAAGATAGTCTTACATCTAATAGCTGTTATAAGGTAACAGAACTGAAGATATTCTTACATCTGTAAGCTGTTATAAGGTCACAGAACCGAAGATATTCTTACATCTAATAGCTGTGATAAGGTAACAGAACTGAAGATATTCTTACATCTGTAAGCTGTTATAAGGTAACAGAACCGAAGATATTCTTACATCTAATAGCTGTTATAAGGTAACAGAACTGAAGATATTCTTACATCTGTAAGCTGTGATAAGGTCACAGAACCGAAGATATTCTTACATCTAATAGCTGTGATATGGTAACAGAACTGAAGATATTCTTACATCTGTAAGCTGTTATAAGGTAACAGAACCGAAGATATTCTTACATCTAATAGCTGTGATAAGGTAACAGAACTGAAGATATTCTTACATCTGTAAGCTGTTATAAGGTCACAGAACCGAAGATATTCTTACATCTAATAGCTGTGATAAGGTAACAGAACTGAAGATATTCTTACATCTAATAGCTGTGATAAGGTAACAGAACTGAAGATATTCTTACATCTGTAAGCTGTTAAAAGGTAACAGAACCGAAGATATTCTTACATCTAATAGCTGTGATAAGGTAACAGAACTGAAGATATTCTTACATCTAATAGCTGTGATAAGGTCACAGAACTGAAGATATTCTTACATCTAATAGCTGTGATAAGGTAACAGAACTGAAGATATTCTTACATCTGTAAACTGTGATAAGGTAACAGAACTGAAGATATTCTTACATCTAATAGCTGTGATAAGGTAACAGAACTGAAGATATTCTTACATCTAATAGCTGTGATAAGGTCACAGAACCGAAGATATTCTTACATCTTATAGCTGTTATAAGGTAACAGAACTGAAGATATTCTTACATCTGTAAGCTGTGATAAGGTAACAGAACTGAAGATATTCTTACATCTAATAGCTGTGATAAGGTAACAGAACTGAAGATATTCTTACATCTAATAGCTGTGATATGGTAACAGAACTGAAGATATTCTTACATCTAATAGCTGTTATAAGGTAACAGAACTGAAGATATTCTTACATCTGTAAGCTGTTATAAGGTAACAGAACCGAAGATATTCTTACATCTAATAGCTGTTATAAGGTAACAGAACTGAAGATATTCTTACATCTAATAGCTGTGATAAGGTCACAGAACCGAAGATATTCTTACATCTAATAGCTGTGATAAGGTCACAGAACCGAAGATAATCTTACATCTAATAGCTGTGATAAGGTCACAGAACTGAAGATATTCTTACATCTAATAGCTGTGATAAGGTCACAGAACTGAAGATATTCTTACATCTAATAGCTGTGATAAGGTAACAGAACTGAAGATATTCTTACATCTGTAAGCTGTTATAAGGTAACAGAACCGAAGATATTCTTACATCTAATAGCTGTTATAAGGTAACAGAACTGAAGATATTCTTACATCTAATAGCTGTGATAAGGTCACAGAACCGAAGATATTCTTACATCTAATAGCTGTGATAAGGTAACAGAACTGAAGATATTCTTACATCTAATAGCTGTGATAAGGTAACAGAACTGAAGATATTCTTACATCTGTAAGCTGTGATAAGGTAACAGAACTGAAGATATTCTTACATCTAATAGCTGTGATAAGGTAACAGAACTGAAGATATTCTTACATCTGTAAGCTGTGATAATGTAACAGAACTGAAGATATTCTTACATCTGTAAGCTGTGATAAGGTCACAGAACTGAAGATATTCTTACATCTGTAAGCTGTGATAAGGTAACAGAACTGAAGATATTCTTACATCTGTAAGCTGTGATAAGGTAACAGAACTGAAGATATTCTTACATCTGTAAGCTGTGATAAGGTCACAGAACCAAAGATATTCTTACATCTAATAGCTGTTATAAGGTAACAGAACTGAAGATATTCTTACATCTAATAGCTGTGATAAGGTAACAGAACTGAAGATATTCTTACATCTAATAGCTGTGATAAGGTAACAGAACCGAAGATATTCTTACATCTAACAGCTGTGATAAGGTAACAGAACTGAAGATATTCTTACATCTGTAAGCTGTGATAAGGTCACAGAACCGAAGATATTCTTACATCTGCTGAGCTGTGATTACACAACAGAACCCAAGATAATCTTACATCTGATAGCTGTCCAAAACGTTTCCTAAGTGTTTGAGCTGAAACGTTTACATTCTTTGATTTTCTTCTGCTACACATGTATATGTAGTTCCTACTTGAGTTGAGCAACTGAGATTTCTGTTGTCGTATAGAGTACATCTTACTCACAAAGCATGAAATGTATTTGCAAAATACTTATCATTGAACTGCTAAAACAGAAATTACCTAAGTCAAGTTTCTTTAGAAAAGATGTGTTTTATTTGGAGAGTCATTACATCCCTTGTCCTTGAGATCTCTGCTATAATTAGCAATTACTGTCCTCGCTCCTATTTTCAAATTGTTCTTTGTCTATCACTAAATCATTTTCAAGAAGAGATGTAGAAATGTATTCCAAACTCAAAAGGAACTTATGTTTCATATACAATTTTTTAGACAGATGTATCGGATAATTGTTAATGTAGTGATATGTCAGTTAATCTTAACACTACATACACAGATTTGAAAAACTTTTTAGTATTTTCATGGATATGGATGACTATAAAGACTTGTTTACGTTTACAGGTTTTGAAAGTCCTCCAAAGAAAGCCACAGTTTATGCTGTGTAGATTGTAAGAGTGCTTCATTCCGAAACTACACCCATCCTTGATTATGTGATGGTATTGAAATACACCCATCCTGGATTATGTGATGGTGATGTGATATATATTGTGACTAAAATGTAAATTTGTGCTATTTTAGAAACATAATCTCGATCAGTGCCATGATGGTGAGAAAAAAAAGAACATTTTTCTCTCCTGATTCTTGATTTGTCGGGTATTTTATCTGCATCACAGTGAGCATCTACAATGTTAGGACTGCAGTCATGTCTGGCAAGTGGAGGCTAGCAGACGCTAGCTATGTTTGCAAACATCGCAAAAAGGAAGTCACAAGATTTTATTGAGTGAAGTTTTCATAAAATACAAATTGGATCCTCTGGGCCATATTGCAGCCATCCCTGACATGCAACAGTTGACTTGGGCCCCTTCACCTGTTTTGGACATCTACCGGATATCACCTGGGTCAACCGGCTGACCTCTGCTCATTAGGTGAAGAACACATGGCCTGTCTGACACTAGGGAGATGAAACAACAGATTTGTATTTGGTATAAACATGTAGCCCTACTTGCAATAGTGATGGTTGCAGATAATTCCTCCTGAGACATTCGCACTGCAAGATTCACACGCACACAGCCAGCCAGACTGTTAAGGAATAGGAGTTGGTCTTTGAGCTGGAATAGCCTTGTGCGAGGGTGTCCAGGTGATATTGTTAGTGATGTACATATATCTGTGTAAAGGACTTGATTGCCTTAAGTTAGAGGGCTTGCCTCACGTCCTTTAAATCATGTGCTGTGTGTCAGTTATTTTAATCTCTGATGTTTTTATGGCTGCATTTATCCTGTTTATATGACTGTTTTAGATTCTGTTATTTTAGCTGGGCACATTGTGATCTGCTCATTTTATGCTGTATATTTTAATGGGAGGTATACACAGATATTAAAGTCACTGACAAATATGTAGCAATACGTACATACAGTAAACTTCGGTTATAGCTAACTCAAAGGGACCTTTAAATTTAGTATAAATGAACTTCGTTATGAGCGCATATATACATTATATATATATAATAGCATGTGGACTAGACAAAGAAAACAGTTCGTTATATCTGCCTGTTTGTTATAAACGTTTACTGTATTGTACTCAGGGTATCTAAAACATCACATCTCCCTTTTATGCCAGTCCCTACTGTAGGTCAACACATGTTTCTTGTTATTTGCAACATGTACATAAAAATTCTACTTCAAATACTGTTCATGACTGACAGAGTTGCTTCCCTTCCCTCAATACACAACAAGAAAAGTTTTTTAAGTAATGCGGACTTTGAATAAATTAAAACCTCTGGATCTGGTTCTACTCAAATGTATCTTGAAAAATTCACTAAAGTAATATTATAGTCGTATTTCCTTTATTTTGTATTTCTCGTAATGTAAGGCTTGGCAGCCGTTCTTGTTTTATATTCCTCTATTCACTCCACAACTGCTGGATTTCTGTTCTATATTTTCAGCACTATAAGGCTAATTCTTTCTGGTATTGTCTTTGAAAGATTTCTCTGGCTGAGTATCTGTGATATTCTGTTTGAATGTAATAAAACTGATGTGTAACAGGTACCTTTTGATTAAGTGCTATCTACAGCCCTGAGCAGTCAAATGTAACACTATTACAGTTTTATGATGCCAGCTTCGTTATCAGCTGCAGGGTTCAGTGCAGACACAGTCTTCAGATGTAGTGAAACTCCACCTTAGTAAGCCTTATGATATTTTAATTCGGGTGTATTATAGAAAGATTTGTATCATATTGAAGAATTATTAATTTAATAATGGAGTTGCCCCACAACATGTAACTCCCACCCAAACGCTTCTAGTGACTACAGTTGTATTGGCAGGTTGTAGGTGAGTGTGGTGATCACCCCCAGCAGGCGCCGCGGCACTCTCACTGTAGGGAAAACACATGCCAGCAAAATCAATATTCATGAATGAATGCTTTTTTAATTGAGTACAGCAAAACAAAACCATTTAACATGCAAAGCAGATATCAATTTTCTGCAGGTAAAAGTTTCACCAAGGGTTGACACTTCATTTATCTTAACTGGTACATTTGTTCCAGATAACACTTTTGTTATCAGTTTAGATTGTTTAGTTGTTGAGGTGAGTAACTCGGATCACTGAGAACTATATCTCTATGGGTAAGCACATGCAATGATGATATATTTTTAGATACTAAAAATCTGAAGATTGTCAGTTGTAGAACACACAAAATCAATTTCTTTTAAAGTTATTTCAAATGTATTGGTGAAGTGATCAACAGGTTCACATTTCAAAAAGAAAATTCAGTTTCATTTTTATGTTGAAATGTCTTGTGTTTGTTAATATTACCAGTACTATAAGCATTTTAGTGACCTAACAGCCATTTTTGCAAAACTCTGCTTATGCTGACGTATTACAACTGTGAAATACATGACCACCAGATACAAAAAGTCAACAAAGTTAGGGAGATGTTCTCCCACGATCAAGCTCCTCAGAAATAGATGTATCTTGTAATATTTGGAAACAATGACATGGGCTCCCTTATGGTTAAGAAGAAACAATTTTCCTGAATATTATTGAATTACTGAAGGCATATATGTTGAAAGAGCACATATAGATAAAATGTGATGCATACTCAGGAATATGTATGTTACTGACATTTTTCGTCATTTTAAGAAAGTTACCAATCTTGGCAATTCTTTCAAACGTTTTTACAAATGCTGTCTGCAAATATATGTGCATTTTGCAATGTCAGATTTATGTCGGTGTGCCCCAAGTCGAATTCCTGTATATACAACTGTCTGTCTGTCTGTCTGTCTGTCTGTCTATTGCTCTGTTTTCACTGTACATAGCAGTTGTATAGTCACTGTGACCACCTTGAGGTGCTATCTATACACTTATATGAAATAAACCATAGAATATTGTCCGAATTGTATTGCCTGTTATTTGACTGGCCTGGTAGGTTTGTTTTATGGAATGTTCCCGCCATATGAAGTGTGTTGAGACTGCTCTCTCCAATTAATAACAATTTGCACTCAAAGCCGCCATCTTACATAATATCGTGGTTAGAATAGGGCTTCAGCAACCCATGCCTGCCGTTAAAGGTAGCTGTGCTTGTCTTAAGAGGCGATTAACGAGAACGGGTGGTCAGGCTTGCCGACTTGGTTGATGCATGTCATCTTGTCAATCACTGGATTTTCTGATCCAGACTCGGTTATTTACAGACCACCATCATATAGCCGGAATAAAGCAGGGTGGGGCGTTAAACAACAAACCAAACAACTGAAAACAGCTGCACATTAAACAGCATTGATGCCTGCCTTGAACGCCCGTATCATTGGGGTAGATGTAAACCTGGCTACACGTCTACTACCTAGTCTAACTATTTATTTCGGTTCTGCTGGTAAGAACTGATCTGTTAGTCATTTACTCTCCACATGACCATGTGTACTATTGTGTAGGTTGCAACTTTATACATGTAACACAGTACATGTTTACTTCCATGGTCAAAATGTTTTTTTGTATGTTTGTTAATCCATGCATATGAAGATTGTAGTCTGAGGGGGCGGTTCAAATATTGATTTACTACATATTGACCCTACATATACTCTGCAAAGAGAGAAACGCAACAGTGATATTTAGATTATATTTTCTTATATCATAAATCAACAGATGGTAATCGATTGTTCAATTGTCATATATTGACCCAGGATGACACACATGTAACAGTAGATTTTCAAGGTGAAGGCCATCTGTTCTCAATATCTTGTATGGCTTCCATTAGAGTCCAAAACTGACTGGCATTGTGGTCACATGGTAGCAATCAGATCTCGAATTGTGACTTGGGGAATGTTCACTCACTCTACCTGCAGTGTTTGTGCTAACTGTCAGGTTCTGTTGTTGTTGCTGACGTGCTCGCAGTCGTTGATCCAGTGCATCCCATAAATGTTCGATTGTGTTTAAATTTGGAGATCTTGAGGCTCGTGGCAGGACTTGGATGGTGTGGTTCTTGAAAACGGCTGTTGTCAGTCTTGCCGTGTGACGTTCGCTTGTTGCATCATGGGAAGGACGTGTGACCGATGACTCTCATCCGTATAACGTTGTGCCGTTAAATTCCCTTGCACCAAGTCTGTTGTACCAATGTAGGCGATAGCTGCCCATGTTATCACACTACCACCACCAAATCTGTCCACTTCCTGTATGTAGTTTCGTACATAACGTTCTCCGCGACGCCTGTAAGCACGACGTCTACCATCGGCACGGCAAAGCATACACCAAACTTGTTTCCATCGCAGTTGTTGCCATACTCTGTGACCTTGACACGCAGCCGACGACGCAGGTTCGTCAAAATGACGCCTCGAACTGGTCGTCCAGCGCTTGCACCTTCAGCGCTTAAACGGTTCCTTATTGTCTGGGCTGATAGTCTACGCAATCCTGGTATTGCCGTAGTTGTAGAGAGGGCCGAGGTGTTTTTTTCACGTAAGTGACGTAGCCGTATGGATCTTTCCTGTGCTCTTGTGGTGATACGTGGTCGACCTGATCTGGGAGGTCTCATGGGTCTCGTAAGGGTGCCACGGTCTTTGTCTCTTTATGTGCTTGGTGCCAAGTGGAAAAACCTGGCAATGGCTGAAGATGATTCATCTTTTTGCAGTCGGCCGATGACATTGCGTTGGGCTTCCATCCGTCGTGTCATGTTTTCACTGTTCACTTGCTGTAAGATTATGATGGCACGCAAATAAAAAACCCAACGTTATCACAGCCGAGCAAGTGATGTTGCACGTGGTGTGTTTCGGTGCCAGGCTCTCCCGTGGTTGTGTTTTTGCGATTTTTCCACAAAATGTCAGCAGTACATTATTCTTTACACACCAATCGATCCCAGGTCATGCAGAACATTTAATGACCAACTCATTTTTGGAATTAATTTTGTATGGATGTCGGCAACACTGTCAGATATGTACGTTTGTCCTACTTTTGCGTTTCTTTTTTGCAGAGTATATTTTACGTTGGACTGAAACCCTGATGCAAAAACAGCTTCCAACGGATATGTTTGACATTACATTTTCAATAAGGTTTTGTAACTAGATAACCTTTTTTTAAAATGTTACAACAATCTTAGAGGTTTTTGGAACACACCAATGCCAGTATATTTCCAAGAATAATTGTGAAATAATGACATGAACATGAATACACTGTAGCTTGTACAAACGTGTGCATCATTCTAATCTTCCGCTCACATGCATATGATAGTGTCTGGAAGTTGAATTTTGCTTTATATATTTTGAATTATAAGTTTGCTTAATCTCTAAACGTACATGTCTGTGGGTTTAAGAAAATGGTAGGACTCCATAACCGCCCGATACTGCACTGGCACCTAGAGACACCAAGAAACAAATGTTAATATTTGAAACACATAAACAATGGTGATTTCGGTTTATCCACAACACTGTGTTTTATCACGGCCTATTTAGGTTAATGTGTTAGAAAAGCCGTAAAAAGATTATGCATGTTTAAGTACGAATATAGTGCTGAAAAACCAAGAACCATAATCAAGACGTATCTAGGATCGTACACACGGTCATTGGATTCTGGCCTAACTAAAGGGACCCTACTCTTCACGCCCATGTTGGCTTAATATGACATTATATGTAGTGATGTCACAAGGTAGGCATCTATCGGTGTGAATCAGTTGGTTCATATGCGATTGTTTAACATAATTATAATACTGATACGTATACGTATACACTGCTGTAAGGCACACATTCTCACTCAAACGAGGGTACAAATTCTTGTCACACATACTAAACATACTACTTTTTAGTTTTCAGTAATTTTCATAAAAGCTCTCACTGTTTTATACGACCATTAACAATTTAGTTTTTCATTATCAACAAATCACAATAGCATTTAAAATATTTGAATGATGTAAAATGCTGAAAATATTCTGTTCTGCGATGCTTTATTTTTGCCTATCTACATAGATAATATACATTATAGATGAACTAAATAGAGCGACTTGGGTATTTGATATGCGTGAGACTGAATGACTGAGCTGGGCGCGGAGGACCTGGCATTCGTACATACATACACTGAACACTTCATGTGACCATCTTCAAAATCAAGCACCTTCAAATTTAAAAGTGGGGTGCTGAGTCGGAAGGCCTAGTGGTTCGACAGCCCTACCCCACATGGGTACAACGTATCTAACCCATTTCTGGTGTCCCCGCTTTGATATTGCTGAAATATTGCGAAACGCGGCAGAACATCCAACTCATTCATTCAATGCGTGAACATTTTGTGGACTCTACGGTCTGTACATTGTAGGTAGATTATGTATTATGACAGTAGATTGACAATGACAAAGAGTTCATTACCCAGGACACTGGCGCATGTTTACTGATGGGCGACGTCTGAAGGCAAGTCACTCACCTGGACTAGCACAGCATCTATACCGGACTGTCTAGACTAACATTTCGTCCAAGAAATAAAGTTATCTTATTTATAATTATATATATCTACAAAATGCAAAATCAAATCAAAATGGAGCCCAGAACAATGCTTAATTTCAAAGCTGAGGCAAACTAGACTTACCAAATGATTCTAGACTTGAGTTGGATTCCTTTCTTAATTTATACTCTATGGTTTTGGAGGCAGACCAGACACTGCCCCCGCTGGTAGGCTACTGCACGTGCATACAGTCTCATGACTGTTAACTGAATTGTAACTCTACTAGGGGTCACTGGCTTGAGGTTGAAGCAAGGCCTCATACTGGCAACCGTGCACCAGCGTCCAAAACAAATAATAGTGATTGGGAAAATGGTGATTTCTTCAGAGATTTTCATAAGGTAAAGGACCGACCATTCGATATTTGTTTTCACAAAATGCAGAAAGAGTTTTGATCGGACGCGATGATATACGTGTTTTGTCTTGTGTCCCCATAGATAGTGATGCTGTTCATTTGAAGAGTTGCTGATGGAGCTCAGGTGGAGTCCCTCGTGGCGTCACTGAGGCAGCCTGAAAGCACCGGCAAGTGTTATTTTCACTGGAGTATCAATTATATATGTTCATTTTAGACCTGATAATAGTCGCTTTTTCCCGATACACCTGAGATCAAGCGTGCGAACAGAATACTCATCGCAAGGATGACCTCTGTTGAAATAGACTTGGTTGATACATGTCATTGTATCCCAATTGCGTGGATCGATGCTCATGATCTTAATCACTGAATTGTCTGGTCCAGACTCGATTATTTACAGATCGCCGTCATATAGCTGGAATATTGCTGAGTGTGGCGTTAAACAAACAGTAAAATAGATCCATTATCTAATTGATGGGACATAACGCCATTACACTCATACCGCTATCAAGCGGTACATGGGTGTTATAAATACACATAGTCACTTTGTACAGCAAATATATTCTAAAACAATAGATGACGTCACGCCGAACAGATTATGAAGCATTCCGTTATCAAGGACTCGGGGAAACGATTGTTAATTAGTGTTCGCTTTTTCACCACAGATTGTGGCCCTCTTTGGGCACAGTTGCTCTGTGACATTCAGACATACTCTCTCCCTCGCCCCTCTGGGATGTTCAGTCGGTCGCTTGTGGGGCGGAGAGAACCTGTTTGCACCCAGTAAACGATTTGAATTTGGAGCAACGATAAAAAGACACAAAACTACATCTTAAAAAATCCATCTACAACAACGAAACTATTAGTCTAAACCGTTTTCTTCAGACAATGTTGACAATAATGTGAAAGATAATCTTAAAACTACGGAAACACGTTAACAACATTTTATTTGTTGTTTAACGCCGCACCCAGCAATATTCCAGCTATATGACGGCGGTCTGTAGATAATCGAATCTGGACCAGACAATCCAGTGATTGATGTCATGAGCATCGATCCAAGCAATTGGGATACGATG